AGACATGTCAGACGCACAATGAACCCAACTCGCACTAAGGGACCGCAACCAACATTAAGAAACCGGAAACGCCCCGCGTATACGGTGCGCACGCGCCGAGCGATACACGGACAGGCCCCACACAGCAGGCGCACTCGCTCCGCCCACCTCGCCGCCGCCGCGCGAACCGCACGCAACCTCCTCCAGAGGGTGAGGCGATCTGCCGCTTCGCTTGGTTGTGGCGGCGCGGCACCCACCCAACCACTTTTACCGTTGCGCTCGTTTTTTTTTTTTGCCACTTTGTCGTTGGGCTCTTCGTTTTTTTTTTGTTTTATTTGTTTTCTTCAATTTTTTTTCCTTCTATTCCTTTTTTTCCCCTTTTTTTTTTTTTTTTTGTATTTCTTCTCTCGTCCTGTCTCCGCCCCGCGCTTTCTCGCCGCTCCCCCACCCCCGGAGGCTCGCCATGGCTGGTGCAGGGGAAAGCTGGTTCCTTGGAAGGCCGAAGCTCGGGATCTTCAAAAACGCCCCAATTCACACCACGAAGCATGTCCCCTTCGTACGCGGAAATGTGCAGGATTTTTTCAAGCGTACAGGAGACCAGCGTGCACACCAAGTGCTTTTCAGCAAGGTAAAGCAATGTCAGCGGTGTAGAAAATCATGCGCTGTGACGCTTTCTGTCTGTAATCGTTGCAGCGCCTCTCTGGACGACGTCCAGGTGACGGAAACGCCCAATCTATTCAGTGCCTTTATGCTTGGCATAGAAGACAGTGGGCATTTTTCTCTCCGAATTTCCATTCGGTATGAAACGGAGTCGTACCTTGTCTTTGATGATCCGCTTGCTCTTTCACCAGCGCATTTCTGCACCATCCCTACGACAGATTTTATACCAGATTGGCGCTATCTCCTTCGGGTTCCAAAGGAGGGACTTGAGATCGTGCAAGCCCTTGTGAGTGCGTCCCACAAGACGTTTAGGGAACAATTTCTTGCAGATCCTGAATGGACCTCATCAATTTTGCTTGACTCGGATCTGGTGGAGGCGAAGCATACTCTTATTGGATTTAATTTCCCACCGTCGCAGAATCAATTGCACCTACAGTACATTGCACCACCATTAATCCCTCACCAATATTTCATGTATTCTCGCGGTCAGCACTTCACTTACAACCGGTTTTTCCCTTTGAGCTATGTGCAAAAATGCCTCAGCGCGCTCACAAAAAAACCTGATCCATTAGGAAAACATGCCTCCCTCCTAGACCTCCCCATTGATGAAATGGTGGACATTTTGGACAGTGAATGTGATATTTCATACAAAAGCGAGCACGCCAAATTCTTTTTGCGTGTAGAGGAGATGCAAAATCGTTTTGCCAATTGGACCAAAGACAAATTTCAGGGGAGGTACATATTGCCCGAAAACGATGACGCCAAGAAAGGAAGTCTATTGTTCAAACCCTTCTCCGGTGATAGTTTTTATGTTGATGAGAACGTTGCATTCGCCGAGGAAAAGGAAAAACTTCAGAACTATGGAAGACCTTACAATGAGGAGGGTAAGCCCAGTGGAGGCTTCTACGCATTTCCAAAAAGCTTGGAGGACATCAAGGTTTGGTCCTAACGCCTACGTGTGAGTACTACATAAAGATAAAAGCGAGGGGAAGGACGCTCTGATGAGTGAGAACGCAATTGCTCTTCTTGTAACCGACGTCTTCTCTTTTCTGTGTGTATGCGTCATGGATGTCTTTTTTTTTTGGTCGTCCCCTTAGGAAAAGTAGGTTTATATATATTAAATTATTCCAATTCTCTTTTTTTTTAGATGTTGTTTTTCTTCTTCTTTTTTGGAGAGGGGGATTCATACGGAGTGGGAAAGCGTGCGACAAGCAGAGCACGCTCTCCCCTTTTTCCATTTTGTTAATCCTGTCCTCGCTGTATTGTTTTCCTCTTTTTGTCTTCTTACCAAGGAATTGCCATCGCCAAAGATGCTCACAACGAAGAAATCCGGTCCAAACTTTCTGGATTCCTTGCAGCAAATTGCGAATAAGAATGATGGTCCTCTCCAAAGTCATCTTGAAGCCAAGGTGCAGTTGGAGCTTGGCCGCGCAACCAGCCCTCAGCAGCTCTATAGGTTTCAGAAGCCTGAGAACTTTACCTATGAACTACGACACACACATTTACCCGCATCGAAGAGGATAAGAAGGAAGGCTGATGAAACAATGCAGCCTCACCTACGCGAATTTGCTGCTTCTGTGGAGAGTCGTAATGCGGGTTCCGTAGCGACAGCATTGTCACTGTGGGATTCTCAATTGGAAGAGAAAGACAGTGACATTCTGCGAATGATTCAGAAAGCCATTCGACCACCCGCAAAAAAATCTATTACTCAGGTGGCCCCAAATGATGAAAGCACCATTCGTGGGCTGCAAACGGATGAAGACTGTATTGCTTTCTTTGCCGCCCATGGTTCAGGTAGTCAGGTGAAATACGTCTACTTGGAACGTGCGCCTCAAGTACTAGATTTTAGGCCATATGACCTCTCTGTCTGTACTGCAAAACGTGGAGTGGAAGAGAGGGAGCATTATATCATGAGTGCAACGGGAGTTGTTCACGTTCGACCAGGACAACCTTCTGAAGTTGTCAGTTTGGCAGAATGGATGAGAGAGTCGTCCTTGTTTGATGTTATTCGTAGAATCCATTTCTTCAAGACATACCTGGTATATAAGGCTTTTCTTCGGTGGCACAAAAATTCCAGGGCGAAACAGTTTTTAAGGACTCGGAAATCACTTTCGCTGGAATTTTTGCTATCAAAGGCTACCTTCAGTACTCCTGTTGTGGATATTTTGAAGAGCTCTTATGAGCTTACTACACACTCACCCATTCTATACGAAGCACAGGGCAAACATGACTACTTTATTGATGATTTCAGAGCGCAACAGTCAAAGCAGCGACAAAAAAGTATTGCAGTTTTGGGTACCTGTATTGATCACATTGAATCAACTGTCACAAAACTGATTGAAACTATGAAGCGTAAGGCGGATGTCCCTGACCTTAATACGAGAGAAGCGTTAGAACAGTATCTGCTTGCTAATGCGTTGGTGTCAGGGAACAAGTCGCTCCGTTCTCAAAGAAAAATGAAGTCCATGCATGATGCTCGAGAGGAGCAATTTCAAAGAATGCGTGAGCTAAAGCGGAGTATGGTGGAATACTCTCAAATAGATGAATTTGTTCGTCTGGTGGATTGTATTATATCTGAAACGGTCTTTCGGACTACTCTCTCATCTGTACAGACACTATTTAACACTCTTCGAAACCAAGATAATCAGGAAATACGATCCATTGGATTCCAGGTTTTGTTGCAGTCTACACAAACTCAATTGTTGTTTAACCCAACCGAGAAAGCTATTCGAGCCGTTTGTTTGGAAGTTATTGCAGGATGCATTGAAGTTGCAAATTCAACGGCGCGTTTGTGTAACCAAAAACATTTGAAGGCTTACTTTTCAAAAATACCTCGGGTATGGAACATGGCTCAATTGCTTGCATCCGACGCCCGTATGCTTTTCCTTCAAGAGAGTACCCTGCAATTGGTGGGTCACGACTATGCGCAAGCAAACACCAAAATGCAAACCTATGCTATTACACTACCCCATATTCATTTTCTGGAGCGAGAATGGAGCGATATCCTGGATGAATGGGAGAGAGAAACTGGAGAAAAGCCTCTCTCCTCTGTAAGCTTGGCTAAATTGTATCTCAAACTACAAGAAGCCCATGATGCACTACGTGTATTGATGGCATCCTTTGTGGGTCATATGCTGTGGATCAATGCTGCCAAATTAAAGACTGAAATTGAGCCACGTATGCGGGTTATTCGTGAAGGTATTGATGCAACACTCCGTGCTATTACAAGGGATGCCATTGCAGCGCTACATGTTTACTTTAAGCAGAAAAGCCAATTACTTAGCGAGCGTCCTGCTCAGCTGCAAGACTTTGCTGAATATGTGGCAAATTACAAGGCCATTGTAAATGAGTCAGCTGATACAGAGGTCAAACTTGCCCAGGCGGATGCTCTTTGTGAACTAATGGACCGGCAACAGGTTGAGTTTCTGGATGATGAGGATAAGCAGCTTAAGGAAAGAACTCTGGGAAGCAACAGCAGCACATCCATGTCTCTTCGGATCGTCTTTGATGATGCAAGACTTCAAGCGGAGGCATTTATTGAGGAGAATTTGCCTATGCACACTCAGACTCTGGAAGAGACTGTGGCTAGTGTGGAAGATGAATGCATTGGTATAAAGCAGATTATATCTGGTGATGAGTTTGTTGTGTTGACTGACAACATTGAACCTATTATACAGTACTTGGATGATATCAAGGTCAAGCTTGCCGAAATCGAAGAAAGCGAAAGACAACTCACCCGTTATGCCAAGTTATTCGATGCTTCTGCTATTGACTGGTCGTCTCTTTACGAGATGGCTAACTTGCTTGCTGTGCGCTATGAAACTTGGACACTGTTTGACAAGTTTCTTCGCAGCAGAGAGCAATGGTTTATGTGCTCCTTAAAAGAGCTTGACACGCGTGCCATGGAGGACCAGGTCAATGCGATGGTTCGACAGTCCGTTGCCCTTAGCCGACAGATCCAAGAGAAGGAATACGAAGACGAGGTTACACCACATCTCCTCTTAGAGCTTCAGGCACTTCGTGGCAGCATGCAAGTTATTCATGACTGTGGAAACAAACACATGACACCTGCACACTGGAATATTGTATTGAAGGCAGCCACCGGTGCTGACAATCGCTATCATGAGGGACTTAACTTGCAAACCCTTCAAGAGTACAACATTATGGACCACAAAGATATCCTTGCAGAGCAGTCTGGGTTTGCCACAGGTGAGTGGAGGATTGTTAACGATCTTGATAAAATCAAGGCCGCGTGGGATGTTCTTCCTTTTGAGACCATACCATACAAGAATCGTGAAGGCGTTTTTATTTTAGCTCAGTTGGAAGATGTCATTCAACAGCTTGATGATCATCAACTTGAGCTTCAAACGATTATGGCGTCTCGTTTTGTGGCACCAGTTCGGGAGCGTGTGGAGGAGTGGATTCGGAATCTGCGGCTTGTGGGCGATGTCATTGAGGAGTGGGTCACTCTACAAAAAAATTGGATGTATTTGGAGTTTATATTTTCCTCTGATGATATCAAGGCGCAACTTCCTGAGGAGAGTGCCCAGTTTACTTCAGTAGATGACCTCTTTCAGACGCTAACGATGCGGGCAAACACGACCAAGAATGTATATCAGATTTGCACAGATGATGGTGTGCTGGAGCAACTAAAAGAGAGCAATTTGGCCATCGATCACATCCAGAAGAAACTAGAGGACTACTTGGAGACGAAGCGGGTTGCATTTCCACGCTTTTACTTCCTTTCAAATGATGAGTTGCTTTCTATTCTGTCAGATGTGCGTAACCCAAAGGCCGTACAGCCTCACCTATCCAAGTGTTTTGACTCAATTGCAGCCCTTGCTTTTCATGGTGACGAATGTGCGGAAATCGTGGGAATGTTGTCTGGGGAAAGCGAGGAAGTGAAATTTGAGAAGACTGTCTATCCAGTGGGTAACGTGGAGCAGTGGTTGTGTCAGATTGAGGCGATGATGAAGAGCTCATTGTTGATGCATATGCGTAAGACAGTTGAAGCGTATCCGCAACGCGTGCGTGAGGAGTGGTTTTTTGAACATCCTGCTCAATGTATTCAAGCTGCCGATATGGTCGTATGGACTGGGGAAGTTGAACAGGCCATAAATTTGGCCTCTTTAGAGGCATATCATGCATCGTACCAGCAACAAATTCTGCGCACGGTTGATCTTGTGAAAAAATCATTAACGAAGCTTCAACGGACACTTGTTTGCACGCTTATTGTATTAAACGTCCATAGTCGCGATATTGTGCAAACGCTACATGAGTCCAATGTGACATCCGTTGCTGATTTTGCGTGGGCTCAGCAACTTCGTTACTATTGGGAAGCTACTGAAGCAGGAAACTCAGAGATGAGTGTTGGAATTCGCCACTGTGGAGCACATCTTTGGTATGGTTACGAGTATTTGGGTAATCAGCCGCGTCTCGTAATTACTCCCTTAACAGATCGTGCCTTCTTGACATGTACGAGTGCCTTAGCAATGAATCTTGGTGCCGCTCCGCAGGGACCTGCTGGTACTGGAAAGACAGAGTCCGTCAAGGATTTAGGCAAGGCGCTTGCCAGACAAGTAGTTGTGTTTAACTGTTCTGACGGTATAAATTACAAAACCATGTCTCGCATGTTTGCTGGTCTTGCCCAAGCAGGCGCATGGGCGTGCTTTGATGAATTCAACCGTATTGAGTTAGAGGTGCTTTCTGTGGTGGCACAGCAGATGCTTGACATCACCACTGCTCTCGCACAAAACCTAAAGCATATGTACTTTGATGGACATCCAATTAAGCTGAGTAAAAATTTCGGTGTCTTTATTACTATGAATCCTGGTTATGCCGGCCGTACTGAATTACCAGATAACCTAAAGGCGCTGTTCCGTCCGATTTGTATGATGATTCCAGATTATGCCCTTATTGCCGAAATCATGTTTTACTCGGAAGGCTTTGCCGATGCAAGAACCTTGGCGAGAAAGATGGTGCAGCTTTATAAGCTGAGCTCGGAGCAATTGTCCAAGCAAGATCACTACGATTTTGGTATGCGTGCGGTGAAGTCAATTCTTGTCTTGGCAGGCGGACTAAAGCGGCAGCATCCTACGGAGAATGAAGATATGTTGTTGATCCGGGCCATGCGTGATGCCAATGTGCCCAAGTTCCTCCGCGAAGACACCGTTCTTTTCATGGCCCTCATCAAGGATCTCTTTCCCACCATCAAGATTGAGGAGTCTCAATATGATTTGCTGCTGCACTATGTGAAGCAGGAAATGGAAAAAGAGGGCCTGCAGGTAGTAGAGGGCTTGGTGACAAAGGCGCTGCAGCTATACGACACACTTGTCGTTCGTCACGGTGTGATGCTTGTGGGGCAAACGTACAGTGGAAAAACGACGATTCTGCGCACTCTTCAAGGCGCTTTAACCCAGATGAAGCTGGACGGTCACGACCCTGAAGCTGCAACGCCTCTAGTTAATCCAGTGCATATTCATCTTCTCAATCCCAAGTCCGTCACGATGGGCGAGTTGTACGGGCAGGTCAATGAAATTACGCGTGAGTGGACGGACGGCATCATTAGCAACATCGCCCGCGGCATTACACGGGAAGCCCAACACTCCGCTGATCGCCAGTGGATTGTGTTTGATGGCCCTGTCGACGCCCTCTGGATTGAGAACATGAACACGGTGCTGGATGACAACAAGCTCCTCTGCTTGTTTAATGGTGAGCGTATTAAGCTCCCCTCTACGGCGACGTTTATGTTTGAGGTGCAGGATTTGGCCGTTGCCTCCCCCGCCACCGTCTCGCGTTGTGGTATGGTCTTTTCGGAGCCCTACTACGTCGATGGGGGGCGTGGCTGGATCCCAATTGTCAAGAGCCTCATCGCACAAAAGGCCGCATTGTTCCCAAAGTTTCGCGCCGAGCGCGTGACGGAGCTGCTGAACCAACTACTTCCCATGACGCTTGACTTCATACGAAAAGAATGCCGTGAGTGGATTGTGTCTGTGGATGCCCAATTGGCAGTGTCGTGCGTAGAACTACTCGCGTCCTTTATACGCACACTTGACGATGAGAGTCTCCTACCCAATGTCCTGCGCTCTCCCGCAGCCCAGGAGAAGCCTGACGTGGACGAGGATATCGTACTGCAGCCGGAAAAACGACGTGCATCCCACGCCGCACCGCTAGTCCGTGAGCCGGATGAATTTCGCCCGCCCACCATCACAGATGAGACGGTGGAGACAAACGAGGATACCCTGTGCGACATGTATTTTATGATGTCGTTTGTGTGGTCGGTCGGTGGCAACCTCTCCGATGATTCCCGGGAACTTTTTAACCGCTTTGTGAAGGAGCGGTTTGTGGAACTGTTGCCTGGCAAGATTTCCATGGATGATCAACTCAGCGTCTACGACTACGTGGTGCACAAGCCCTCGATGCAGTTTGTCACATGGCGCCATTTAGTTCCTAGCTTCTTTTTCAGCGCCGATCTGCCCTACTTTGAGCTTATCGTTCCCACGGCGGAGACGGTGAGCGTGACCACGTTGCTGGGCGTGCTCGCGGCGAGCTCGCGCCACGTGTTACTGAATGGTGTCACCGGCACGGGTAAATCCCTGGCTATGCTGAACTTTGTCTCCACCGTGCTCCACGGCGATGATCCCTCTAGTCACTGGGAGTACTTTACGACTGTCCTGAGTGCGCAGAGTCGTGCCCGCGACATTGAAGACCGGCTGGAGGGGAAGTTGTACAAGGTGCGTAGCAACGCCCTTGGGCCATCGCCTGGAAAGCGTGTGGTGTTTGTGATTGATGACCTGAACATGCCAGCGCTTGAAAAGTATGGTGCCTCGCCTCCGCTGGAGTTGTTGCGGCAGCTCATCACACAGGGCGGTTTCTACGACAAGCGCAAGTCCCCTGCCACGTTTAAGGAACTTCACGATATCGTTTACCTTGCCGCCTGCGGTGTGCCTGGGGGCGGCAGAAACGAGATGACAAAGCGGTTGGTGTCACGATTTCACCTGCTGTGTCAGCCGGTGTTTAGTGACCACTCCATCCGTCGTATCTTTGGCTGTATCTTGCACGGTTTTCTCTCCGAGTGGGAGGAGGCGGGCGTGAGAAACTTGTCCCGGGATTTGGTGGAGGCCATCAAGCAATGCTACGATCGCATCAGCCGCGAGAAGCTTCCGACGCCGAAGCGGTCACACTACACCTTCAACTTGCGTGACTTCAGCAAGGTGGTGCAGGGAATTATGCAGGTCTCACCGCACAGCGCCCCCACTCGCGAGACTGTGCTTCGCGCCCTCGTCCACGAGGTCAGCCGCGTCTTTCACGACCGCCTCATCGATGACACAGACCGGCAGTGGTGGTGGGGCGCGTTGGGTGAGGTGATGCATGGCGTGTTTCAAATGCCGTGGGACCCGGAGCTGGAGAACGTGCTCTTTGGCGACTACATGCGGCGCGATCGCTCCATGTACGAGGAGGTCGTCCCCGGGGACGCGCTGCATGAGACACTCACCGAATACCAGAAGAATTACGCGATTGACTGCAACAAAAATGTGGAGCTGGTGTTCTTTAAGGACGCAATCCATCACATTTCACGCATGTGCCGCATCTTTAGACAGCCTCGCGGGCACGCTCTCCTCGTGGGAATGGGTGGGACAGGGCGGCAGTCGCTGTGTAAGCTGGCCGCTTTTATTTGCGACCTGCCGGTGTACGGAGTGTCCATCACACGCAACTTTTCCATGACAGAGTTTCGCGACCGCATGAAGGAAATCCTGCTGGCAAGCGGTTGCAAGAATCAGCCTGTGATGTTCTTCCTCTCGGACGCACAAATTGTCTGGGAGGAGATGCTGGAGGACGTCAATAACCTCCTCAACACCGGTGAGGTGCCAGGACTAATGCAAAACGAGGATGTGGACCAAATCGTGGAGGCTGTTCGACCACTTGCCACCGCCGCTGGTAAAAAAGAGACGCGCAACGTCATCTTCTCCTACTTTGTTTCGCTCTGTCGTGACAACGTGCATGTGGTCCTGGCCATGTCACCGGTTGGTGAGCCCTTCCGTCGTCGTCTGCGAATGTTTCCCTCGCTCGTTAATTGCTGCACAATCGACTGGTTTGACCAGTGGCCTGCGGATGCCTTAAGCTCCGTTGCCTCACGCATCTTTGCATCACTGGCGCTGGAGGACGATGTAAAGGAGCGTCTGATCCAGCTCTGCGTCGCCATCCACGTGGACGTGCAGAAGCGCTCCGACGAATTCTTTGAGGAGCTGCGTCGTCACAACTACACCACGCCTAGCTCGTACCTGGAGCTGCTTACGTGTTATCAACGCTTACTGGGTGAGCAGAGTGAACAGATCACGAGCCAGGCGAAACGCTACCAGGGTGGGCTTGACAAGCTGCAGAGCACCCAGGTGCTTGTGGATGAGATGAAGGAGCAGCTGGTTCTCATGCAACCCAGGCTGCTGCAGGCGGCGAAGGACACGGAGGAGATTATGGAAAAGGTGAAGCAGGAGCAAGGGGTTGCCCAGGTGGTGCGGGAGGAATGCGCAAAGGAGGAAAAGGTGGCGATAGGCATCCGTCGTGAGGCGGATGGGATTCGTGCGGAGTGTCAGGCGGAGCTTGACAAGGCGCTGCCTATTCTGAAGGCCGCAGAGGACGCCCTTGCCGAGCTGCGACCGGAAGACATCCGCGAGGTGAAGAGCTTTCAAAAACCGGCAGCTCGTGTCGTACTTGTGCTTGAGGCGGTGCTGATCTTGCTGGGGGAGCGGGACCTTAGCTGGGAGCGTGCGAAGCTTGTCATGAGTCGCATGGATTTCATCAAGGACCTGCAAAACTACAAACGGGATGAGTTGACCGAGCGCATCGTGCGGGCGATACAGAAGTACATCAACAACCCTGACTTTCAGCCAGAGGAGGTGGAGAAGAGCTCCAAGGCCTGCAAGTCCCTCTCCATGTGGGTGCTAGCCATCAACAACTACTACGAGGTGGTGAAGGTGGTGGCGCCGAAGCGAGCACGGCTTGCGGAGGCTGAGGCAAAGCTTAGCGTCGCCAACAAGGCCTTGCATGAGGCGCAGGAGCGGTTGAGGGGCATTGAAAATGAAATCAGTGATCTCAAACGCACCATGCAGGAGAACATTGAAAAGAAGGAGCAGCTTGAGAAGGATATTGATCTCACCATGGTGCGCCTCGAGCGTGCGGAGCAACTCATGAGTGGGCTCTCGCGGGAGCAGGATCGTTGGTCGAGTACCATTGAATTTTTACTGGACGAGTTAAAAGGTTTACCTGGCAAGGTGGCTCTGGCCGCTGGGTTTGTTGCTTATCTTGGCCCCTTCACCGCCCCCTACCGCACACGCATGCTGGAGAACTGGCTGGAGCAGTGCAAGAAGCTGGAGGTGCCGATCAGTAGCACTACCTTTGACCTCACCAGCATGGTCACCCCGTTGCAGGTGCAGCACTGGACCAACAAGGGACTTCCGCAGGACCCGGTAAGTATTCAGAATGGCGTCATCACGCACAAGTCGAAGCGTTGGTGTCTGTGCATTGACCCGCAGGGACAGGCGGCCCACTGGGTTCGGGCGATGGAGCGTGACAACAACCTGCGCGTCATTAAACTCACGGACCCAACGTATATGCGAGTGCTAGAAAATGCGATTCGTGTGGGGCTTCCTGTGTTGCTGGAGAATGTTGAGGAAACCGTGGACGCCGCCCTCGATCCTGTTCTCCTCTGCCAAACCTACCGCTCACAGGGGCGACTTCTGCTCAAGTTGGGCGATACGGAAATTGACTACGACCCGGCGTTTCGGCTGTACATGACAAGCAAGCTGTCAAACCCGCACTACCTTCCCGAGCTTCAGATTAAGGTGACGGTGATTAACTTCACTGTCACGCAGGGCGGGCTGGAGAATCAACTGCTGGCCGATGTGGTGCGCTACGAGTACGCCGAACTCGAGACACGAGCCACCAAAACAGTAATGAGCATTGCCAATGGCAAGAACCAGCTCAAGGAGATTGAAGATCGCATCTTGAACTTGCTCACCTCCTCTACAGGCAACATTCTTGACAATGAGCCTCTCGTGACCACGTTGAGGGAGGCGAAGGAGACCAGTGAGGCGGTGACGACCTCCCTTGAGGTGTCGGAAAAGACGCAGAAGGACATTGAAGTGGCGCGTAACCGCTACCGCCCCGTCGCCACACGTGGTGCCATCATCTACACCGTCATTTCACAACTTGCGGGGCTGGATCACATGTACCAAATCTCCCTTGACTTTTTTAAGCATCTCTTTGTCCAGTCGCTGCAGCGCACGGAGAAGGCCGATGAGGTGGAGAAACGTGTGGCCCTACTCTTGCCTGCCATGACGTTCAACTTTTATAGTACCGTTTGTCGTGGTCTGTTTGAGAAGGACAAACTGCTTTTTGTGGTGATGATGTTTGTGCACATCTTCCGGCATGAGGGGGTGGTGCGGGACGAGGAGTGGGAGTTCCTCCTGAAGGGCAGCGAGGGCCGGTTGCTCGTGGACGCCGAGACGGATATTTGGCCGGTGTGGATGAATGAGGGGGCGTGGAATGAGTTAACCGCGCTCTCGCAGGCGCTCCCGGATGAGTTTGGCGAGATTAAGGACACCATCTACGACAACGAGGCGGAGTGGTCCAGCTGGTTTGCGAGCGACAAGGCGTATGAGTGGTTCCCCGACTCCATCGCCTCCCTCACCCCGTTTCAGAAGCTGCTGGTGCTGAGGGTGTGCCGCGAGGACCTGACAAGCCACGGCCTCTCCGTCGTCTGCGCGCACTACCTTGGCAAGGCCTTCACGGAGAGCCCCGCCTTCGATCTCGAGGGCTGCTTCGCCGACAGCAGCCCGACGGCGCCGATTATCTTTGTGCTCACGCCCGGCAGCGATCCCACCGTGCTATTCACTGAATTTGCGGATCGCAAGGGGTTTGGCGACAGAAAACTGACACTCTCGCTGGGTCAGGACCAGGGACCGAAGGCGGAGGCGATGATTCAACAAGCCTCCTCTGAAGGCAAGTGGGTGTACTTGCAAAACTGTCACGTGTACGACTCCTGGATGCCGTCGCTGGAGCGCTGCCTGGAGGAGTTGCAGGCCTCCGCCAACGTTCACAGCGAGTTCCGACTGTGGCTCACGACGATGCCGACGCGCAGCTTTCCCGTCTTGCTCCTGCAGTCCGGTGTGAAGCTGGTGAAGGAGCCACCAAAGGGACTGAAGGCAAACATTCGTGACAGCTTCTCCATCGAGGTGACGCCGGCCTTGTGGGACAGTCGCCCAGCGAACCCGGCCCCGTGGCGCCGGCTGTTGTGCTCACTCACCTACTTCCACGCCGTGATACAAGAGCGGCGCAAGTTTGGCCCGCTTGGCTGGAATATCCCATATGAGTGGAATCAGTCGGATTTCTCTGCGGCGCTGCATTCACTCTCCGAGTACATCCCTCAAGATGCGGAGGCGCAGGTGCCGTGGAGTGCGCTACGGTACATGGTTGGCATTATTAACTACGGTGGCCGCGTCACAGACTTTCTTGACACGCGCTCGCTTGTGAATCTCCTGCAGGCCTACTTCAGCGAGGAGGTGGTGACGCCGGGGCAATTCAACATCACAGCAGACGGCGTCTACTGCATCCCAGCCGAGTTGGAGTCGCTCGACGGGATGAAGGAGTACCTCGGCAACCTGCCACCCTTTGAAAGTCCGGAGCTCTTTGGGCTGCACGCCAACGCTGACATTAGCTGCAACCGGGCCACGGTTCGCAGTCAGCTGGCCTCCATGCTTTCCGTGCAGCCGCGCAGCAAGGGAGCCCTGGGACGGAGCCCTGAAGAAAAGATTCTCGAAATGGTGGCCGAGTTTGAGCGTCTGCTGCCCCCGCTGATCGACAAGACGCGGGCGAGCCCTGAGACGTACCAAATCACAGAGGATGGCACGATGATCTCGCTGGGCACCGTGGTGAGTCAGGAGATTGACGTCTTTAACGCCATTGTCAAGAAGCTAAGGCGGACCCTACTGCAGCTGAAGCGTGGCATAAAAGGCGAGGTTGTCATGTCGTGGGATCTGGAAGCCATGTTTGATGCCTGTCTCCTTGGTCAGGTGCCGCAGGTGTGGCACGAGGGCGGCTACCTCTCCCGCAAGCCGTTGGCCTCGTGGTTTCAAGACACCCTGCAGCGTGTGGAGTTCTTCCGGGACTGGAACGACAACGGGATACCGCTAAGTTTTTGGCTCTCCGGCTTCTTCTTCCCGCAGGGCTTTCTCACGGGTGTGCTGCAGGCCCACAGCCGCGAGCACAAGATTCCCATCGACGACATCCGCTTCCGCACCGATGTGACGCGGTACGAGTTGGTGGACGACGTCGTGACGACCCCAACCTCCGGGGTGCTGATTCACGGCCTCTTCCTGGAGGGCGCCCGCTTCAACATCGCCGGGTTCATGCTCGACGAGAGTCGACCGCGCGAGTTGTACACCTCCATGCCGGTGATCCACCTTGATCCGGTGCGGCTGAAGGAGCACGTCGCGACAGAGTCGACCTTCGAGTGCCCGGTGTACAAGACGTGCGCCCGAGCCGGGGCGCTGTCGACGACGGGGCTCTCAACAAACTTTGTCGTGCTGCTCGACCTCAACGTGGGGTCGGCGACACCGGAGCACTGGGTGAGGCGCGGCGTGGCGCTCTTGTGCATGCTGGACGATTGATGACCGCAGACTCCGCGCGGGGGCCGACGAGCACGCCCAACAAGGCACAGCTAGAGGGAAAACGGGAGGCGCAAGGAATAAAGGAAGGAAGGAAGGGAAGTGGTGGGGCAGCACGTCTTCTTTTTTTTTTTACGATGTTTATTGCCCGCCACTGCATAACTCATGCGGTGCAACAGCCGCAACGCGCTTGTTCATGTACAATAACTTATGCGTCGGTCGGAAAAGATACCTACAAATATGCATATAACCTGCACTCGCTCTTCTTCTTCGCCCATTCACATGTAGAGTTGAATATGTATATTATGTTTTTCGTAAGTGTGAATGTGTAAGGCAGCGAGTATAGATTAATGTGTATATAGGTCTCTCTCTCTCTCTCTGTGTGTGTGTGTGTGTGTGTTTTGGACTTTTCATCCGGCTGCCCTTCTCTGGACGCTTCCGCCGGCATGCAAACAGTATTTATCCCTTTTTTGTTTAGACTGACATGTGTGTGCGAGGGCGCGCGGGACTTTTCCCCTGGCGAGGAAACAAGACGGAGCCTGGGTGAGTTAGACACCCCACGCGTCACGCGGGTCCCTCACTTCTCTTCAGTCCTTTACATTTCGTGGGGCGGCACTGTGTCGCACCCGCTCGTACTTTTTACAGGCACGGGCTGCACCGTCGCGTTGCGTTGTTGTTGTTTTTTTGTGTGTTGTTGTTGTCTTGTTGCTATTGGTCTCTCCCTTACTTGTCCTTCTCTCTCTTTGTGTGTGTGTGTGTGTGTGTGTTCCCGCATCACACACCACTTCAAGCCTTAATTCCCGAAGAGAGCCATACGGTGGCGCCACGGCCCGGAAAAGACGAGGGCGCGGGTTCGCAAGGCATTTTGCTGTTGGGTTTTAGAAACTTTTGCGTGCTTGCTGCAGGGTCGGCAACGATGCTGACGCTCCGGAGCCGCATGTTAGGCGTCTGTCAGCGCGGACCCGCGCTGGCGTCGCTCCACCTCCACGCACGGCACGTGTCGCAGCGTGGGAATGTGGGCGAGGCACGGCGGAGCCCGCCGACAGACGCCGTGAGGAACGCAGACGCGGCGAGTGCCCCCTCCCGCACCTCTGAGACGGCGGGCATCAATGGGCTTTACGGCAATCGGGCGCAGAACGCCATTCGCGGCATGCTGGGGCCACAGGGCCAGGCGGATGCACGTGAGTCCAGAGCCGTCCCCATCTTGGGCAGAGCCACCGTGGGTGGGACGAAGTACACGTGCGACCGATCCACGGTCTTTGAAAACTGGCGACACGTTTGCCCGGCGCCGGTGGGGTGGCACCTGTCGAAGCTGGGGAGTGCCACCTGCAAGATGCCAAACGACATCAATGAAGCCGTTGAGTCCCTGCAGCTTCAAATCATTAAGGGGTGCAACGTCTTCGAGCTCGATGGAAGCATGTCGGACGTGCACCAGAGTGTTGCCCGCGCCTTTTATGAGGCGCTGCAGGCCTTTGAGTTGGAGCGGGACGGGTTTGTCGTGGTCTTCCGCTGCGGCATCATTAAGCAGCAGCCGTTTCAGGAGGAGGTGACGCAGGTGGAGACCTCCAATTCGGCGGTGGTGCGTAACCGCATCGTCCCCATTTTTGAGCGCTACAAGGCTGCCTCGCTTCCATCGATGCAGCTCAAGTCGGGTTTTCGCATCAGCGACTTAAGCGAGGATCAGTTGGCACGCCTGAACCTCCGCCGCGTGTCGAAAACGTCTGCGGCGGGACTCTCACCGGATTGGCTCGAGGCCTTTTTTACGAATGTCGCGTACAACACAAAGTTGGAGTGCATCGATGTCCTGTTGCTGGACGGGTTTCACACGCTCTTTGACGGCCGCCCGGAGGCGCACGTCGACGAGGACATTCTACAACTCTTTGCGTACCTGGAGAAGCAGGTGGGGCTCGGCGTGCTGCAGTACTACGGCATCTCCTCCCCCTACCTCGCGCCGCACGTTCACCGCGACTACCCGCCCCTCCCACCGGACGCGATGGTGCCGGACCACATCCGCCACCGACGACCGCTGCCGCCGGTGATTAACTTGTACCGCATCCTGCAGCTTGCCCGGCGCGCGGGTGGGGAAAGCCACCACCTCCGCTTCGTGCAGTACCCCTTCAACCTGACCTTTTCACAGGCACTTAATAAGCCGCTGCCGTACGATGGCAACCACACTCTCTACTCACTCACACGGGCGCTGGGGCTCACGGCGCTGGGGTACAGCCCGTTAGAGGCGACCGACCTGATGGAGCTCCCGCAACGCTACCACAATTTCCCCATGGAGGCTGACCTGAAGTCGCTGCGCATGAACTTTTTTACGGTCTGCGAGCGTTGCGTTTTGAAGGAGATGGAGGTGAAGGAGTCGATTGAGAAGGGTCCCGCGACGCTGCCTCCGCTGGAGCACCTGTTTGTCGCCAGCGTGTACCTGGCGGCGCAGCGGCAGTTCACCAACTTGTTCTTCTTCACTAGCTGGGCGACGTACTACATGATCCCCCGCTTCCGGCGGGCCCTAATGCGTTTCAAGGAGGCCTCCTCCGCCGACCTGAAGGAGTGGTGCAAGCAGTACGAGCAGCTGGTGAACGACATGCTTCGGCTGCGAAAACGCATGTTTGAGCACAAGTTTGGCAAGTACGCGCTGGAAAAGAACAACGCGATTGACCGCGTCAGCCCAACGTTGGCGCGGTGCCCCATGTTAAATCAGAAGGCGCTAAATTTTGCCTCCTACGGCTGCGACACCGTTCTGGCAGGATTTCACGTCGCCCGCTACTTTCACGAGGCGACGGAGTTAAATCCCGCCAAAAACGGCGAACTCACTGTGCCGGAGGACGAAATCATGGCCCTCTGCGACTCACCCGAGGTGTCGTTTGCCAACTGCTCCCCGCCGGACCCATACATGCTGGAGCCCATCCTTACAGAGGGGAAGCTGTCCAAGCAGAAGAGCAAGTCGCTGGAGTACATGGTGAAGATCGACCCACACAACCCGAAGTTTCCAGACATCCCTGAGGAAGTGGAGGAGGGGGACACAGTGAAACAAAATACATGAGCAAGGACGTGGCTACTTGCTCGTGTGTTTACTTCACTGATTTCTTCACTCTCTCTCTCTCTCTCTGCATGTGTGTGCGTGTGTGTGCGTGTGTGTGCCCACAGTACACGGAAAAGATATGAAGAAAATGTTGTTGTTGTTTTTTTTTGCGAGTTTGGTGTTGCGTGTATTTTATTTTTCCCCCTATTATTATTATTTTTTTTTTTCTTGAGCGGGGAGAGGCAATGTTAACTGTAGCGAGAGCAGTACCCACTTGTGGATTTCTGCGTGTTTCCGTGTATATATGTATATACATACCAGTGTGGACCTACGCCTGTCTGTCGGTTTGAGCGTCGTAGTGAGTTCTGTGGGTTTATTTCTCTTTGGTTGTTGTTGTTGTTGTGTCTCCTCTGCAGCGTCCGGTCTCTGTGGGCAGGGAGCCGCATGGAATGTCATGTGCCGCGCTGCGCGTCGTCAACGGCGTCGTTGGCGGGAGGAGGGAGCAGGACGCGGGGGAGCGGCTGCTCGACCGGCTGCTGCGGGCGGCTCCCACGGCGGAGGTGATACCCCCCACACTCACGGATCTCCTCCCGCTGCTCGATCGGCGCGTGACCGCGGGCGCCGGGTTCCTGTGGGTGGACTGCGGCTACACCAGCAGCGACGAAGGCTCGCTGCTCACTGCCCCGGCCCATCGTCGCACGCCGCGGTACCTCGGCAGTGACGCGTTGGGGTGGTACGGCGGCGGCTTTCTGCCCGCACTAATTCAGCTGCTGTTGCTGCGTGAAGAGGTAGGCGTCCCCAGCACCGCCGCCGTCCTCGAGGCCGCGGCCGCCTCGTTTGACGAGCTGCGTCTGTGCTGGTTTGCCGTGCGTGCCCTTGACGCGCCTGTGGTGGATTTGGTGGCGCCTTTTGTCTCCAACTTTGCGGCGCGTGGCGCATCGCACGACGGGCCTTCGGGGGTTGCCGCCGCCTCCTCGGAAGCATTGCAGCCCTTGCCCATTCGCGACGTCCGCGGCTTTGTGGAGCACGTCGAGCGCGTTGCGGTGACACCCTCCTTTAGCCGGGCGCGCGAGCACCTCTCGCACGTCTTTTGGTTCACACTGCGGGGGGTGTCGTACGTTGTGTGCGTCGTGCATGAGGCGCACACGGAGGTCTTTACCAAAGTCCTTACCTCCCCAGGCAGCCTCTGCGGGCCGCACGACCATCCCCTGTCTTTCCTGCACTGCATGCAGGCGGTCAAGCTCGGGTTGTGGCGCTGCGCAGCCGTGCCGCGGACGCCACGCGGTGCTGCGGAACCCCGCTGCGAATGGTGCGTCCGCGTGGGCAGTCATCAGTGGGAGGACCCGCTCGACGCCGTGTCGATGCTGCAACGCCTGCAGGACATCCCGCCATTCGGCGCCTCCGCCGTGGCGCCGCCAGCTGGCTTTGGCGCTGCCGCCGCTGAGTCAAGGCACGGGGCCGCGCAGGAGGAGCTGCAACCAACGCAGCGGCGGCGCACCAGTGTGCGGCGAATTACCCCCGTAGAAGCCCAAACCTCACGCCTGCCCTCCGCAGCAGCCACCGTGCGAGACGACGGCCTGTCTGCCAGCTCACGTGTGCGATCGCCGTGTGAATCCCGGTGCACGTCATGGATCTCCTCAGAGGCGGGACTGCCGTATGCCCCTCCGCCAGCACTCCACCTCGGCGTCGTGCATATGCGCGAGCAGCTTGTCGCGGAAAAGGAGCAACTGCGGCAAGAGGCAGCGGAGGCACAACGTGCGACGGCGCGTCACGCGCACCTGCGGTGTGAGGAGCGCACGCTGCAGGAGGAGGCGGCCAGCCTGCGGAAGCGCCTTGCCTCGCTGCGCCACGATCATGCGGCCGAGGAGAATGGCATGCGTCATGCCAGCGGTGGCGGCCCTGCTGCAGGTGCTGTCGAGCACCTGCAGCAGGAAGCAGAGAAGGAACCGAGGCCGACGGGGCGGTTGCTGCAGTTTACCCCACAAGAGATTGAGGCACATTACGAAACTGTGAGGGAGCAATTACGCCGCAACCACCAGTCGCAGCTGTCGGTGCTGGCTAAGCAGCAGCAGGAGGAAGAGGCGGCGGTGGAGCGCTTCTGCGCGGAGCAGGCGGCGCGGCGCCACCGCGAGGCCGCGGCATCGCGCGAAGAACTGCGGCAGATTCAAGACGATATCGCTGCTGCCGCGAGAGGGCTGCGGTGCCTTGAGGCGGATGCGGCAAGGGGGCCCCGCACGCCAACGCCGCACCGGCGGAGGAGCGACACCGCAGTAGAAACTCCGTGTGCACTGCAAATGGAGGAGGAAGAGGGGGCGGCGGGAACGGCGACGCCGCTGCTCCAGAAGGAGCAGGACGAATTAGAGCGCTTGGAAACGGAGGCGGAGCTGCTGCAGGAAGGTGTGGACCGGGCGCGTGCGTCCGTTCATCGTCTTGTTGTGAGTCTGCATGAGGGACACGAACGCCGTGGAAGAGGGACGCCGCCGCGGGCGTCTGTTGCCGCCTATAATAAGTCGTGGCATGCTGCGTTGCGCTGCAGCGCACAGCGAACTCTACTGGCAACTGAGAGGCTCTGCCGTGCCCGCATTGAGCGGGAGTACAGCCAGCGTCTACTGGCCGTCTGCAAGCAATGGCACGATGAGCTGGATTGTGTGGCGTTGCACTCGCCTTTAACGACGGCGTTGCATGCCGCACGCGCAAAGTATGCGACGCTGCAGGCGGAGTGGGAGACGGCGCAGCACACGCAGATGCACCGGCAGCATGCGGCGGAGCGGGAACTGGACACAGTCCGGGAGTCACACGCGGAGCTGTGGCGTGAGGTTCAGGCGCTGCGGGAACAACGCAGCAGACTCCCGGGCGAGCAGCGTCGCGTCGTTGCGGAACTGCAGCAGCAGCTCCAGGGCGAGGCCGCGACGGTGCTGCGCCGCATCACGGCCGTGGTGGCTGCTCTCGCGCGGGAAAGTCTTGGGGAGTCGAACGAACGTCGCGACGGACGCGAGTGTGATGTGCGTCGGGCGCTGGAGACGGCACTGGCGGCGGGTTGCCACCGCGCCCCACGACAGCCCCGGCAAACGCCAGACCGAGAGGCGTGGGGCGTTGTTCAGGGGGAGACGCGCAAGCCCTTTTTGGCGGCAGATCTGGCACTGATGCGTGAGACGTGTGAGGCGTACAAGGCACTGTGTGCGGGTGTGTTGGAGCGACACCGGCTGGAGGCGGAGGTGCGCCGCCTGTCCGGCGCGTGTGATGCGGTGGCGCCGACGCTGTCCGCAGAGCGGCACGGCGTGGGGCCTCGGCAGCAGAGCCGGCCGCAGTTGGCCGCGGTGGCGGCTGCGCCCGCGGAGGGCGGGGAGAGACACTAGAGCTGGCAGTCCTGCTTCGTGCAGGCATGCACACATGTATGTATTATCCTGTTGGCACTGAAGGCGCGGTGTGGGCATGAAGAAAAAGAGAAGGACAAAAAAAAAATAACAACAACAACAACTAAAGTGAATCCAAGCAGCGTAAAATGTGGCTGATGTGTGGCGGCACCCGCTTATTTATTGAGGGTTTATTGAGGAGCGATAAGTGGTGTTTTGTTGTTGTTGCTCTTCCTTTTTTTTTTTTGCTTTGCCTAGCCTCGGCGTATAACTTGTAGTAACTAAATAGCAGATGCGGCGCTTGCGGGTCTCATCGCCGCCGCCGCCACTCACGCTGCAGCTGCTGCTCTCGTGTGCCCTGGCGCTGCTGCTGCTGTCGGCCTCCGCTTTGGCTGGGGCAGCCGTGCGGCCGGCAACGGCGGCTGGCCCGGCGCTCACGGCGACGGTGCACCACGCGATTCGCTTCGACCGCCGCGTGTCGAGCCCCGCGAATGCGGTGGTGTCGTTGGGCTCCCAGGCCTCCCTGCTGCGCGGCAGCGTCGCGCCGTTTAACCCCGCCAACCTCGCCGCGCACCGGCGGCAGACGGTGTTTATCCCCGCCGAGCGGCACCTGACGGCGGGGGAGTGGGAGGCGCTCGTCAACCTGCCGGTACGGGGCGTCGTGGCGGCCCTGTCGCCCTTCGACACGCACAACGAGCGGGTGTTTCAGCTGCACCTCGCGCGCGAGGCAGTGCCGTTCCCGGTGTATTTTCTCCCGCAGAACGGCGAGGACGCGCGGCGGCTAACCGCTACCTTCACGGCCCTGCGCCCCGGCGAGTACGCCGTCATCTCCGTCGGCGGGAAAGAGACGGCGGTGGCCAACGCGTCCGTGGTGGGCGTCAACCTCTACGCCGCCCTCGTCTTTAAGCCGAAGGAGGCGAAGGCGGCGGTGGAGCTGCCGCGCCTGCTCCTCACGGCGTCGTTCGACACACTCGGGGTCGCACCGACTGCCCACACAACCGGTGGCGCCTCCGGCGTCGCGGCGGCGCTCGAACTCTGGCGAAGATTTAACGTGGAGGCGGCGTCCGCCGCGGCGGCGGAAGGCAGAAGAAACGGCGCCGCCTCGTCCTCCGCGCCCTTCGGCCTCTCCGTGTTGTTGGGCAACACCGCCCGGTTCAACTACGCCGGCACGGCGCGCTGGATCACGGGGCGTGAGGAGGGTGATCTCGATCGTTATCGACTGGTGATCTGCCTCGACGAGCTGCTGCGCGCCGGCACCGATGAGAATGAGGCTTGGGCCAGCGACGCAGACGGCGACGCCGCCGCCACACCGCTCTTCATGCACGTGCACGAGTCCTTCGCTAAGACCCCGCAGTTCGCCGCGGTGAAGGAGACGGCGGAGGCCACGGCCGCGCGTCACGGCATCGCGTTGACGGTCGTCTCCGCAAAGATGAACTATCGCCACTACGATGTGCGTTTTGAGCACGAGGTCCTGGCGCACCGGCAGATACCCGCAGTGACGTTTTCCGCGGTTCGTAAGTACCGCGTCGACCAACTTTTCCGCGGCGGCCACCCGCCGATTTCCGTGGATGCTGCCGTCAACGCCACCGCCGGCGCTGCGGCCGCGCAGCCCCCCAAGGTTGCCGTGGCACTCAGCCGCCGGGTGGACTTTGTCCACGCCTTTGCGGGGGCAATGCTGGCGCGCTCGCCCACCACGGCGCCGTGGGTGGGGAGTGCCGCGTACATGCTGGGCCTGCTGCGTCACGCTTCCGACGCCGAGCGCAGCCCCGTCTCCCACGACGGCGCGGGTCCCTGGAAGTACGCGGAGGCGCTTGCGGCGCACATGAGGCAGACCGCGGCCACGTCTGCCCCGCGCCGCGCCGTCGCGACGGGCGTGTCGGTGTCGACGTACCGCTTCAAACCGACGGGGGTCGTGCTCGTGGGGCCGTACGAGCAGGTGATGCGCGTATTCGTGGCGAGGAGCCTCGTCGTGGAGCTCGGCATCTTTGCCGCGGCGCTGGTGGCCGTCCTCGCCTTCGCCGTCTGCGAGTTCGGCGCGGAGAAGACGCGTCGCGCGCTGCTTGGGCCGTTCATGTTGGGCCGGCCGGAGAAGTCCGCGGCGTAGGCGGCGGGGGAAGCAGCAGCAGCGAAAGCAAAAGCAAAAGAAAAAAAGCAGAAGGAAGAAGTGGGCACACCGGGGCGCCTCTCAGCACCGCGAGGAGAAGCCGCGGCACGCCCGCGGCGCAATGGTGGACCTGACACGGCGACACTCCGCGCGCCAGTGCGCGGCAACGCGACGGAAGTCGGGTCGTGCGTGTGTGTGTGTGTCTCGATAGGAGGGAAGTAATGTAACAACTAGGTGGAAGGCAGATAGATAGAAAAAAAAACATGGTGATTTAAATAGAATGACGGTAAAAACAAAAACAAAAGGCATAAGAGACTGTGAATGCTGATTGCCGCCGTCCTAAAGGCGGGGTACGTGCCTTTGCGTGCGTTGAGCCTCTTCATTTTCATTCATCTACCTTTTGTTTCCTTCGTTTCCCGCTATCGCTGCAGTGGCGTGCTCGTAATGCACTCGCCCCTTTTTTTTCTTTTTTTTTTGTTTTTGCTCCTCTCCGCCCCTGTGGGGCTTGCAGCGAACACTAAGAGAAGGGACGAGGAGGCGTGTGCTCCCATCCGGGGGGGAGGGGAAGGGTGCCAAGGAAGGCGCCTTTGCCGTGGCGATTCAGAGAGTTATATTTCAACAAATTTAATCCGCTCGCGGGACCCGCGCCCAGGCCGGAAGCGGGGAGCAAGAGGGCGGGCAAGCACGAGAACGCCGAACCAGGTGAATATATATATATATATATATATATAGGGAGGGTTCATACGGCAATGCTGATATCGCACACTCGCCGTTGTTTATCGTGGCGCCTTCTCGCAGCGCCGGCTGTGTGCGACACGCGCTGCAGCGGCGCCAGCAGCCATCGCGCCGGCAGGGCTGGCGGTGGCGCCTGCCGCGGCAGTGGCCTGGGGCGTGTGCCGTTTCCCACACCCACGCTCGTGTGTGCGGTGCGGCTCCACGGCGACGCCACCGGGGACCGCGGTAAGCCGCTCACACTGCATGTGCAGCTGCCAGATGGCACCACACGCGACGTGAGGGCGTACGAGGGGCAGACGCTGCTCGACGTCGCCATGGAGGCGGGGCTGCCGATCGAGGGGGCCTGTGGCGGGTCGTGCGCCTGCTCCACGTGTCACGTGTACTTGGAGAACGACGCCGCGATGGAGCTCTTTGACGAGCCAACGGATGAAGAGAACGACATGATTGACATGGCCTTTTTCCCGCAGGCCACCTCACGCCTGGGGTGCCAGCTGAGGCTGGTGCAGGCGAAGCACGACGGGCTGAAGATAACGCTTCCGCATGCCACGCGCAACATGTACGTGGACGGCCACACCGTAACGCCACACCACTAAAGTGAAGTAACCACACACGCCATGGCATAAAACGGAGAGAGATGAAAAGAAAAAAAAGAGAACAGACACTGTCGAGGAATTCATGGAGGTTCGCTTCTTTCACTGCGTCTCGGCAACTTTGAAGCGTAAGAGGCGGCAACGCGGTGGCTTGAGTCTGGCTTTCTTCCTTCTTGTTGCGCGACTTGCTTCCCTTGTCGCCTGTCTCTGCTGCTGATGCTTGTGGCTCCGCCCTTTTCTGCGGGTCTTTCTTTCTCGGCTTGTTTGTGTACGTGTGTGTGGAGGCCCACCGCGTCACCCACGCATCTCCTCTGGCTGGTGGACATTCGCCCTCTTCTCTCTATCGCTTACGCAAACACAACTAATAATAATAATGCCGCACCGTGGAAGAAGAAGGAGGGAAAAAAGGGCTGGCAGGGTGGAGCCGACTCACTCGCTCATTCACGCGCACCTTCGAGCACTACACACAAGGCGTGGCTGTGCCGTCAGGGGCCTGCAAGGACACGGCGGGTCACAAAAGGAAAAAGTTTATCATCGGTTAAAGAGGTCAAACCAAAGAAAATGCCCGGCGGCGTGCGGAACCTTACCTTTACCCCGCTTGGAGAGGGGCGCGTGGAGGCCCGGCGCGATCGCGATTCCGTGCCAATGAGCATTATCATTGACAAGTCGTGCCGCGTGTACATCACACAAATCCCGTTAGAGCGCATCGAGCGGGACGGTGCCAACGCGCTGCGAGCGGAATTCGAGGCATTTGGCCCTGTGGAGTCGTACAAGATGTTTACCGAGCGGTCCGGACGCTTCATTGGGAGTGTCTTGTGCACCTACCGCAACCCCGCAGACGCCAGTGCGGCGGTGCAGAACATGGACGGGGTGCAGATTGAAAGTAGTATTCTGAAGGTGTCCCCCTCCCGTGACCACAGCGTTGTGCTTCTGCACCATGCGGGGGCCAAAGGCCGTCACGGCGGCGGCGCTGACGAGGACGACGGAGATGGCAAGTGGCAACACGATCAGTACCAGGCCCTGCGGGAGGGCGGCGGCGAGTTGATGGGCAGGTATGCGTCCCAGCGCGGCGGTCGCGGCGGTCGCGGCGGTCGTGGTAGACGTGGTACACGCGGCGGTCTTCAGGGCGTAGATGAGGCCTTTGAGCGCTACATTGCTTCCCGTGACAAGGAGGCCCTGGAACACCGCAACAAACTGAGCCCCGGCGACGGCGAGGATGCCCCCAAACACGAAGAAATCGGCGCGGGTGAGGGGTGCGGCGGCACCGGCGACGACGGCGGGAGGGCGGCACCGGCGCCACTTGGCGGAACGCATGGGGTTGAGCAAGCGGAACAGTAGAGCCGGTAAACATCTCTTGCATGGGTTTTCTCCACCCTTCTACTTGCGCGGCCTCTGCGGGCGTGGGTGTCTGTGCATGCACGCCGCTGTGTGCTGCTCTGCTCTCTTTGAAAGGGCAGAGGGTGGCAATTGGACGGAAAGAATTTTAAGCAAAAACAACCACGGACGGTAAACGAAGGAGAGGGTCTGGGTTTGCATCTGTGTGTGTGTGAGGGGGGGGGGGACGGGAGTAGCTGTATGCATGCATGCGTGCGTCTGTGTGGCTGTGTATGTTTTTTTTCTTTTTTTGTCTTCGTTCTAGTTCTGCTTCCTCTTCTTCGTGTGTGTGGGGAAGGAGGTGGGGCGGGTGAGGGCTGTGCGTCCACCCACTGCCCCTTCTTCACAGCTTTGCTCTTTCCCTTCCTACTCCCTGCCAAGAGCCCTCCATCCCTTCAAGTGAGGCGCGAGCGGCAGCGTGTGTGTGCGGGTTTTGGGCGGGGCATCCACACGCGCCAGTGGGAAGGGGGCCTGGGGATGCTGCGCAGGGGGCAGAGTTGTCGCCTGCGGCTCACGTGCGCCCGCGGTCTCAGTGCGGCGGCGCCAAGAGCGGCAGGCAGGCAGCGACGCTTCGCGACAACAGCGCCTGATGGGCGGCCCGCGGCACCCCCGCCGCTCCGGCGTCCAGATTGCGCGGAGGTGGAAGGGTTCTTCCGGCAACGGCTTGCTGCGGCACCGCAAGACGCGCCGTCGTCGCCCGACTCGTGTCACGCCAACACGCAGGCGGAAACTTTACGGCTGCCCCCGCACATCACCGCCGTGCACGCAAGAGAAGACGTGCGGATGCACCGACGCCTCGGCAGCCGCTTCACCAGCCTCTGTGACCAGGAAAAGTTATACGGCACCGCCGAGGTGGCGTTCCACTCCATTCACCAAGACGTGCAGCTGCGTCTGTGTTGGGCGCGGGAGGCGCTGCGCCTCCTACAAGAGGCCCTGCCACAGCCGCAGCCGCCGCACGCGCCAACGGCCGTCCCGCGACGTCTTGTAGTGCTTGTGTTGTATTCGCACACGCAGCACAACGCCGCAGTTGGGCTGTATCTGCGTCGCATCAGTGAACAGGCAAGGGCACTGCTCGCTGAGAAAGAGGAGGAGGTGCTGGGCGTCTTAACTGCTGCCGTTGGCGTGAAGTGGCGGAGCCCCACGCCGCCCGAGACGAATGCCCTGGACCACAGAAACAATAATATTGCTGCCGCGGCGCTCCAGGACGAATTGCTGTGGTACCCTAACGCCGGCCTGTACACCTTCAATGCCCTGATGCAGTGTCTCTGCCGAGTTGGGCTTGATGCAGACACGCAGGATGAGGCGCGGGGCTCGCTTCAGCTGCAGCGGAAGCTATTAATTATATCCGAGGGGTGGTTTCACGTGCGCACGGCTGCGGAATTGCACCAGCTGCCGCAGGCGCCATCGGGGTCGGCTGGTGACACGGTGGATGTGGAGCCGCTGCCGTTTGTGCTGGGCAGCGCCCACACTGCGGAGGAACTGCGGCAGTTCGCCCGTTACACGGCCTGTCGAGCTTTAGCCCTATGAGAAGGAAGGTGCAACGTGATGCACGCCCTACCTCAGACAAGCGCAAGCACACACGCACTGCCTGCCCGCCTTTCCGTCTTTTTTCTTCTGGAGCCCTCCTCCACTGCCTGGCTGATTGCGAAGCTCTGTGAATTCCGTCCCGGTACATTCTCATTGACTGCCCTCTCTCTCCCCCCCCCCCCCACTTCGCCCTCTGCGCTGGAAGTAACGAAGAGGGGCACTGCAAGCGTCACGAGCAGCCACAAAGAAGTACGCGACGGGACAAACACCGAAGAAGAAAAATCAAAAGCAAAAAAGAGGGAGATAGCGTGGGGTGTGTTGCTCTCCACACACCCGCATACGTGACGTGGGCTGAGCGAGGGTTTAGGGCGGGGCGGGGTCCGCCGTGTGTGTGTCTTGGTTGCCTTGCGTGGTGCCTCACCCCCTCCTCGTCCCCTGAGGTGGGGGCCTGCATGTGCGCTCACGTTTTACTGCGGCGGCCAAGCGAAATAAAAAAGCGGCGCCTGCGAGACAACCGGGAGGTCGGCGCAACAGGCTCCAAACGAGCGGGCGTCAAGGGGACGGGCGTTCCATTTGCTTCTTCATGAAATCGGCCCGGTCAGGTAGCAGGCACCGAGATGCCCCGGCACAGTGGCGGCGGGCGCGAGCGGCGCGAGCACGCCCCGGCAGGAGGAAAGGTCCTGACGCCCCCCGCCCCAGCGGCGTCGCGCTCCCGCCGATTCAGGCGCTGGGGCCGAGGCCGAGGCCAGGCGTGAAGGTGACCGGTCTCGCCTCACAGGAGCTGCGACGCACCCTGCGGCAACTCACCGGCGGGCGCACGGGCACAAGGGAGGGGATGACGGGGCTGTCGACCACGGACCTCGGCTCCGCCCTGGATACGTTCTTGGACACATGCACATTGAGCACAGACGGCGACACGTTGCGGGCGGCGCTTGGGCAGCAGAATGCATCCCCTTTCACGCTGCCTGAGCGTGACACCCATCACGCGGGGGACTCGGTAGGTCGACGCGGCGAGCTTGTCGTGAGTGAGATACCGTGGTACTACCCCCCGCTGAAGGCCGCGTTGCTGCGGCAGCGCTGCTGCTACCCGGACGACAACGTCATCTTTCCTCGCCCCACCTTGGGGCAGTTCTCCACCTTCTCCAACTGCAGCGACGCCACCGTCTCCTCGCATTCGTCGCGTACGACCACCGAGGGGGAGAGGGAGGGGAAGGAACGAGGCGCGGACGCAGGCGCCGCCGCGCAAGCGAAGCGGAAGCCCATTTCTCGTGTGGCGCTCAAGAAGAAGAAAAAAGGATTTCCAAAAGACTTACGTGGATCTGGTGTCTCGTTAAGCACCCATGCAAACCAAGTGACGGCGGCTGAGGCTGCGGAGCAGCTGCGTCGGCGTTGGATGCGGGAACGCCGCTTTCTGAACCGCATCAATCAGTGGTGCGACAAGGTGATGCTCGTCGAGGAGAGTGTGAAGCTCGCCCACGACCCGGTGGAGCAGCACGAGCGCTGCATGATGGTGGTCCGCAAGGAGGAGGAGGTGCTGCTGCTGGAGATGCAGCTTGAACGACACCAGGCCATACAGGAACGCGAGCGTCGCCGACAGACTCGCCAAAGAGAGACGCTGGAGGCTGGTAGTTTGCGTTCCACGCTAAAAGGCGCCACACGGCCGAACAATTGGCGACAGCTCCTGAGCACGTGGACCGTCGCAACGGAAGACGGCGCACAAAAGGGCACAGGGGCGGTGAGTGGGGAGGTGGAGGAGCGGCGCGTGGTCCCACTACCGCGCATGATCACGATGCGAGGAGCGGGCACGGCTCCCACGTCCGGTGTGCCTGCGCGCCGCCCCGGTTGGGCGCCCGCCTCCAGCGAAGGGGCACCGAAGTGCCGGAGTCCCAGCCACGACGCCGGCTGCAGCCCGTTGGAAGGCCTGCGACGTCTAGTGGACGTCATTGCGATGCACTCGGCTGGCACGCAGGCGAGGGACGCGCCGCGCCCCCGCGCCTCGCCCACGTCGCCGTTGTACACCCCGATCCCTTCCCGCGAGGGGGCGCTCTTTCCGCCGCCGGGCTCCGTCTACGCGCGGATCAACTGGGTGGAGCTCGTCATTGACGCGGACGACCTGCCTGGAATAAAGCGGCTGACGCAGCGCCTGGGCGATTGCGTGGGCGCGGCGGACACACCCGCGTCTGCGTCCTCTCTGACGCTTGAGACGGCGAAGGTGACCGATTGCAGTCGTCTCGGGGGGGCCAAAGGACCCGCGTGCGCCCCATTTCTTCTCCCACTGCAGCTCGTTTACAGCGTTCATGGCGCACTGGAGCGGGTCGTTCTGGCGGACGCCGTTTCTCTTGTTCCGTCACGGTGCTTGACACGACAGCGCGGAGGCACGCACTCTCCTGACAATTGCGGGAAAACGTTATTCCATCCCTGCGAAAACCCTCTAGGCGCTGCCGGCAGAAGTGCGGAGGGAGGCGCAGAGGTGTTTGACCTGCATGAGCGCCTTTTGAGTGGGGGCGCGTTTGTCGGGGATCCCCCACGTCCCTACGAGTCACTCGTCGGCTACGTCGTGGATGCCGGCGCCATTGCGAGGCAGAGCAAGTGGCGCTCGCTGACGCTGAAGCGATTGGCAAACGAGGAAAACGGCGAGGTGCGGCGCCGCATTCTCGCCAAGGTGATGGTGACGCTGCCGACTCGCACCGTCGTGTCGGGGCAGGATGAGGCGGGCGACACGGAAAAGCCCGACGCACCTCCGCTTGATGGCACGCGGGACGACGTCTACTTGCTCACCACGATGAGCGCAGACGCGATGGACGTCAATCCCTTTCTGCGCACGGTGCGCTGCCTGTCGCTGCCCTCGCCCTCGACTATGCAAGACGAGGAGCCTGTCCTGGTGGCTCCCCTGCGGCGCACCTACTACGCGGTCGACACGCGACATATGTACTTTATTGCCGCCACGGCGTTGAAGGAGACCAACGAGCGACTACTGCCCGCGCTGCAGAAGTTGCGGGCTGAGTACCGAGCCTTGACGCGGGCGCTGATGCAGTCGGAGAGCCCTCAGTGTGACTCCGCCCGCAGCCGTCCCTTTGCGTTTTCCCCCGCGCAAAGCACGCGTGCCACGGAGCAAGTCTGTGATGCGCTCAAACTTTTGCGGCTGGAGGCGGAATACAGTGGCCTCCTTGCCACCCTGCATCGAAACGAGTGCGCCATCATCCACTACAACCTGCACGTGGAGCCCTACGGCGAGTTTTTGAAGAAAAGCAAGACGCTGTGGGGCCCATTGTACCTCCGCACCCTGCGACTGGCGTACGCCTTCTGCGTCTTGGTGTTGGGGCTGGGCGGGTTGCCGATTCCGCCGCGGTACCATCCCTTTCTTGGCCCTGTGCTGCAGCTTGTGGGCTGCCACGGCGGGCAGAAGGAACTGCGTTTCCGCATTGAAGAGTACCTCCTCGAGCTGGAGGAGCGGGCGAAGCGGGTGCTCATGCCGCTGCTCCTGCGGAAGGTCTCGGCTGAGCGCCTGGCGGAGCTCGACGCTGCGGCAGAGGCAGTGGCAAGCGGTCGGTGCCTCGCCACCCAAATCATGACGTCTCTCGCCGTACCGGAGGACGTCCTGGAAACGCGGCCCAAGCCAGTGGAACTGCCGTTGGCGTCTTTCACGGATACGCCTTCGGTTGCCGGCTAATGCGGACGCCTCAATACGCCCCTCTTGTCCGTCCCCCTCACTCTTTCCCCCACTGTTCCTTTTGCGTTGTAGTTGTTGGTGAGTTGACAAGGCGAAGCACAAACTGTGATTCGGGCTTCCCTGGCTCATTTTACTGTGCCTATCATGTACGCGCTGCACTCACTCGTTCTTTTGACGTTTGCCGCCGAGGCGAAACCGCTCAGCTGCCCCCCACGCCGACGGAAGTCGGAGGGGGGAAGTTAGATTGACTGGGCGAGAGGCGATGGCGTCGCGGCCCTTGCAGAGGTGCGCACAACAAGAGGCAAAAACTTGTGTATATTTTGAGGCGGTGCGGAATAGCAGGCGTTGGATGTACTGCGCGTGCATCGTTTTCAGCCCCTGTTGCCTTAACGTTGGCATCTTGGGGAGATGAATATGTGACCCTCGCCCGCATCCCTCCTGTCCTCTTCCTTTCTCTCGCGCATTCATTCAGCGGGTTTTTTTTAATTTTATTCTATTTTTTTTTGTGTGTGTGTTTCGTGTTGCACCGGGGCGGGGAAGTTTGCGTGGATTTGTATTCGGTGTTGGATTGAGCTGGGCCTCGACGAAACTGTCTTCTCTGCCTTCTTCTTCCGTGGCTTTGCCGCCATTGCTCGCCTTGGAAAGCTGAGAAGAGGCGGGGGAAGGGGGTGGTGTGGCTCAATGCGCGTCTCCGCTGCCCGTCGCGCGCTTCCAACGCACGCGGCGTCGCTGCGCGGCGATCTGGAGCGCTTCATTTATCCCCTCGCCCGCCAGCAGCAGCAGCAGCAGCAGCAGCAGCAGAGAGGCAGCCGCCCACGCCCCCTGGCGGAGATCCGTGAGCGGGGCCCTGCCGCGGGCCTCAGCGCCCGCACTGGCCGCACCCCCGGGCTTCGAATGCCCATCACGTACTTTTCGGACCACATGAACGCCCTGCTAAACCGGCCGCTTGACTCCGACGTCGGTATTGATGCGACGGTGCCGCTGTACCGTTGCCCCATCTGCTGCTGTGTGCGCGGAGCCACGGAGGAAGCAGGCGATGGTGTTTTGCAGGTGCCGTGGATGACGCCGCCGGAAATGACGCGGCACATGAGTTGGCTGCACGCCTCCACCGGGGCTGCGCAGTCCAGCTTTGCGGCCTTCAATGCGCTAGAAATGCGGCGCCTGTTCCAGGCGCTTCCGTCGTCTGCGAATGACGTGAGTGGCGAGGAGGGGAATCTCCCGCTACCGCGCGTGGTGGTGCTTCTTGATGTGGCGAACCTTGAACTCGGCACGGAGGACGTCTTGGTCGGGCTGTTAAAGAACTGGGAGTGCGTTCAGTTTTTTAGTCGCGTCGCCTGTGCATTTGTCTGCGTGCACGAGGTGTTTATTTCACACACCTCGCGCCCGGGTCACATCTTCTATCACCTCTCACGGATGCATCCACACTCGGACCTCTACACCGTCTACGCCGCGACGCGAAAGGAGTCGGGGGACCTCGTCTCTGCCGCAGTGATGGGCGAGTTGCTGCTGCAGAATGTGCGGGGGTGCGGCCCGGCGGTGGTGCTGCTCACGAGGGACGTGGTGCAGAAGTCGTGTGTGGCGGAGATGTTCAGCGGGGTTGCGGGCAAAGCTGGGCGCGTGTACGTGCCGCGCTTCACGACCGCCAGCATTCTTCAGAGCCTGCGGGAGGCAAATAATGCCAGCATGGGATGAGAAGCGAAAAGTCGAAACGGAAAACAACAGCAACAACAACAAAACAAACAAAAAAAAACGTCGCCGCTGCAGCCGCAAAGGCGTGGGGTAAATGCCTTCACCCGTACCGTTTGCTTGTTTCTTTGTTTGCTTGTTTCTTTGTTTGTTTGTTTGTTTGTTTGTTTGTTTGTTTGTTTTTTGAGGGGGGCGCATGGGCGCGGCGGTAGGAAGTCGCAGTTCACCCACGGTGTGTGTGCGTGTGTGTCGTTGCTGCCGCTGCGCTCCTCTCCTCCTGCAATTGGCGTCTCTTCGGTTGGTCCCCTCCCTCTGTTCGTTGCTGTCGCTGTGAAAATGTTAAATCGTTTTCTGTGCCTACCCCCCCCCCTCTCTCCCTCTCTTTGCCACGCGCCTCCGCAGTGCGTCGCAGTTGAGTAAAGGGGAACAAGAGCAACAAAAAAAGGAACAAAAGCAGGGCCCCATGCTTCGCCGCAGCAGTGTCAGCCTGTTCCGCCGCACGCCCATTCGCCGCAGCGGTGGTGAGCTGTTCGTCCGCCCAACCCTCGACCAGATCCCTCCGGCGGAGGAGTGCAAGGGGTTCTTCGGTCACCTGAACGGCTCGCTGAAGTTTCTGCGCCTCGTGGACCTGAAGTGGATGATGAACCGCGCCGTGGCAATGCGGCGGGAGTACCTCATCGCCGCCCCCACGCTCTACGCCTTCCTCTGGATGTTCTCGTGGGGGGGAGCGTCGATGTACTTCTGGGGCGACCGCGCCCCGCCCCGCCGCATGGACTGGAACAAGGAGGAGACGGGATACCTCCCGCACAACTTCGAGCCAACCGTCCTGAGGAAGTCCTTTTAGACGCCACAGACACCCACACACACACACACGCACGCAGAGTGAGACACACTGGACTTCTTAGCTGTTGTTGTTGTTTTTTTTGTGTGTATGTGTGTGTGTGCACGTGTGTTTGCGTCTGGTGGTGCGACAGAAGTTAGGAACCGTGATGTAGCGGATTATTATTTTTTTTTTGCAGATGATCTACGTAGTGTGAGAGGATGTGGAACAGGAGAGCGTGGGCGCGTGCGTAAGTGAGGGAAAGAGAGAGAGAGAGCGAGAGAGAGTGAAGGCGCGAGGGAAGCCGTGGCGGGGGTACAGTGCCGGGATGAAGCAAATGCTTGGAGGCTGGTGGGAAGGAATCATGGCGCAGGTGTCAGCCAGCGGCACTGCTGTTCTGGGCGTTCCCGCACGTGCGTAGGAGCCGCCGCGGCCCTTTTCTTTTTTTTTTTCTCCCTCTCCCTTCCCCTACCCCCCATCTCCGTTTCTGTTTGTGCCTGAGGCGAAGCTCTGTTAAGAAAAGCTGCTGACAGCAGCCACTGTGTGGACGCTTGTGCGAGGTGCCATCCCTCGCAGGGAGTCCAACTCGATGTTGTGTGCCGTTGTCCTCCCCGCTTTATTGCTCAAAACGCGCTTTTCCCCTTCTTGTGGCTGCGCGCTCTGCCGCGGTACTCGCATGCGACGGGGCAGAGCAGCGAAGTGAAGCAAGGCTACACGTCAGAGCACGTGCCACCGCAGAAGCATTGCATTAAGTGGCTGTGTTTCCTTTCCACTGCGGCGGCGGGAATCCACGGCGTGCGTACACATACACACCCGCCCACACACTCACACACATCGAACCAAAATTAGGAAACTCCCCCAGTGGAAGGTGGGGCGAAGGGCTCGCTAGCATTTTTTTTCTTTTTTATCCTTGTTGTGTTTATTGCGCGTGTGTTTGTTTGTTTGTTTGTTTGTTTTTTTGCCGTTCCGCCTCTCCCCGCTTCAAATGACGCAGCAACCGGGGGAGGAGGCGAAATGGGGGCGCCACGCGGCGGTCGTTGACGTGCGTGAGGCGGAGGGCCGCGCGAGACCCGGCCGGCGCGCCCCCGAAATCGAGGACGAGGATGAGGACGGCAGCTCCGTCCGCTCCTTCGCGGGCGGCCCGGCGGCCGACCTGCGCTGCGAAAAGGACGAGCTCATCAGCCGCGTGGGTGCGACGCTGATGCAGGACGTGCAGTTTTCGCCGCAAGCCGCGTCGGGTGGGGCGCAGGCGCGTGCGGCGTACAAAAACGCCGCGCGCATCGCCTCCCTCGCGCACGCGATCAGCCTGGAGGACGGCGAGTTCGTCCTGAAGCTCGCCCTGTACGTCCGCCGCGACCTCAACATCCGCCGCACCGCCGCCGTTTTGGTGGCCCTCAGCGCCTTTGAGCCGAAGTGTCAGCCCTTTCTGAGGTGCTACATGCGCCGCATCATCTGCCTCCCCTCGGACTGGCTGAGCATCGCCAACATTGCCGTGGAGCAGCCGCACCTGCGCCTCTCGCAGCCAGCGGCGTCCACCAGCCATGACGCGGCCTCCACGGCGTCGGAGCCCCAGCAGAGGGGGGAGGGGAGCGAGCGGCGGTCGCTGCCCAACGCACTGCGGCGCGCCCTCGTAGCGACCTTCACCATGTTCGACGACCACTCCCTCGCCAAGTACAACACGGAGCGGGCCAGCAAGCGAAGAAGGAAGAAGCTGCGAATGGAGGCACCCACGCCCGACATCAAACCCATGGGCCCACTGACGTTTAAAGACCACATCCGCCGGCTGCACATATCACAGCCCGCGTACGCCGTCTGCTGTCTTCTGGGGAAGCGCTATCCGGACACGGAGAAGGAATTCAGAGAGCGTGGCCTGGATGAGGGTGGCACGCGGGCGTTTGATCCCCAGCTGCGTGGTCGCCGCATGCGGCTGCCAACCCCAGTGACGTGGGAGAGGCAAGTGTCGATGCGCGGGAATCGCGGTACGGTCTGGGACGAGCTCATTGCCAACAATCACGTGCCGTTCATGGCCATGCTTCGCAACTTGCGGAATATCATTCGGCACAAATGCAGTGAAAACACCCACGCCGCTGTAATACGGCGATTGCTCTGCGAGGAGCAGGTGTTGGCGTCGCGGCAGTTTCCCTACCGGTTTCTCAGCGCTTTCAAGGCTCTTGAAGACGCATTCGTGAAGGACTGCCAAGCCTGGGATGCTCAAATGAGGCTGAGGAAGAAGGAAGTTTTGCCAGATCTCACCGACAACGATACCCGCGGGCGTCTGCTGCGACGGTACAATGAGGCATTGGACAGGGCGGCGGAGATTTCTATGCGAGTCAATATCCCACCTATTCGAGGAACCTCGCTTGTGATCCTGTACGCAACCTCGGATTTTGTGCACGATTCCTCAGGTGGACAGCCGCAATTTTACAAGGCCGTCCTCTTGGCGGTTGCCTTAAAGTACGCCTGCGAGCACTGTGTCGTACTGCTGGCAAGGAAGGGCGTGCACTGCGTGATCGACGCGGACTTCCGCCGCGAGGATGGCTTGCTGCACAACGTGAAAAGGGTAAAAAGTATTTGCGAGGGGATGGGAACTTCTGACGTATCCGCCGTTAGAGGCAGAGCGCAGTCCACGCACATCCGCGGCTTTCCCTACGCCTACCTAGACGACATGCTTGAGCGTCGGGTGAATCTCCAGTCCCTCGTCGTCATGGGTCTCGCCCACAGCTGCTACTCTGGACAAAACGACGCCCCCTCGTTGGGGGATCTGCCCGTCTACCTTGAACGCATGCGGCGCACCTGCAACGAGGACCTCCTCTTCATCTCTCTGCAGGCCTCGCTGGAGGAGGACGAGGCGGTATCGTCGCGGTACCGCCACAAGAACGACGTGCTTTTGACCGGGTTTTCAGACGCCATGCTGCGGTTTGTGGCGGAGCGTGTCTCGGGCGGGCCCCGGCGCTACGTTGAGCGGGCCGACGAGGTGTACGACGTTCACCGCGCGGCGGTGGTTCTCCCCGGCCGCGTGCCTGAGAAGGAGCTACAGACGCTGAAGCGCGTGCTCGCAGTCGAGCGGGGGCGTCGGGCGTACAACGGCAGCGCCGCAACGAAGTCGCTCTCGGAGGGAGGCCTGACCGACACCCAGGGCAGCTCGGCGGCGGGACGTGCAAGTGCAGCCTCAACGCCGCCGCCGTCGTCGCCGCTGCAACTGCTGACTCTCGCTTCGGCGAAAGCAATGGCCGATCCGGCGCGTGCGACTACGACGACGACGACGACGACGAAGGCAGCGGCGCCCGCTACACCCATACGGGGGCTCCCGCCGGAACGCGGATTCCTGTCGACCCACCAAGAGTGTCGCTTTTTTTCTCTCCTCAACCTTCATTGACATGGACAGTGAGAGGAACGCGCTGGTGCTTGACGTCTTCCCGCGGCTGCGTCGCTGGGCGGTGGAGGCCGGGCTGCGTGTCAACATCCTGGAGGTGGACCTGCGCTGGGGCATCACCGAGGACGCGTCGAGCGCCAACCTGTCCCTCTCCGTCTGCCTCAATGAGGTCTCGCGGTGTTCCCCGTTTTTTCTGGGCGTGCTCGGTTCCCGCTACGGGTACTGCCCGCCCACCTTGTTTCACCGTGTCGACGAGGACGTGGACGCGGAGGACTTCACGTGGCTGCAGCAGCTCCCACAGGAAAACCCGGCGCGGATGTCGGTGACGGAGATGGAGATGCGGCACGCACTGTTCACCGCGGCGCGTCGCACAGGGCAGGCCGTGCCGCGCACCATGGCCTTCTTCGTGCGCGACCACGCCGCGTTGATGGCGTCGTTGGCCGTGGAAGACCGGGAGGCGTACGCCCCCGACACCCCGACGACGATGCAGTCGCTCTCAAGGCTTTCCGGCTACCTGGAGGCGCAGGGAGCCGCGGTGGTTGCCTACACGGCAACCGGCACCAGCTCGGGCTCCGGCCCCTTCTCTGCCATCTCGATGCCCTCCACCAAGAAATCCGCGTTGCACGTGCCGCTCGACGTCACCGACTTCGCGCGCAAGGCGTTCGTCGCGCTGAAGTCTATTCTTTTGCGGCACTGCGGCCTCCCTGACGACGCCGGGGAGTCGCTGCGGAGCCTGAGGGAGCACGCCAATCAAAAGCTGCAGCCGCAGCGCCAGGGTGGCGGCGTTTTGAAGCGAACAGACAACGGCGGGGCGCTGTACGAGGAAGAGTACATGGACCAGATCAGCTTTGCGACGACCCTGCTGAAGACCTTCGTGCCCCCGATGGGTCTCCTGGAGAAGTTGTCCCTCTTCGCCCTCGTGGGTCGGCTCCCGACCGAGGCCGGCGCTTCCACGGCGACTACGGCTGAAAGCAGCTTGACAAACATCGCACGCGCGCCTGACACTCGAGACCGCGACAAAACCCCCAACGTGCTCCTCTTGCAGGGCTCCGAGGGAAATGGGTTGTCCGCCGCAGCCGCGGCCGTTGCGGCTCACGTCGCCCACTTGGAGGATCCGAACGTTATGGTCCTGCACTTCGCCTGTCAAGCCAGCGACGGAAGTCTGCGGCGGTTGGTGTACTACCTTGCCTTTTCGCTGGTGTACCGCCTCCGACTGGAGGAGGACTTCTGTGTGCGGGAGAGCGACTCTGTCACGACGCTGCTGCCACTCCTGCCGCGCGTGTACGCGGCGGCGATGAAGAAGAAGCAGGTGTGCGTCATCCTTGACGGCCTCGACAAGTCCTCCTTCGCGGCGGAGATACTACGCAACCTTGGCTGGATTGTGCCTCCCGGCACCGCGCCGGAGGTTCGCTTCCTGGTCACGACCACGCCGAGCAGCCCCTTCGCCGCCGCGCTCAAGTCGCGCATGCTGCCGGCGTTGAGCCTCACTTTGCCCGACTTGAGCCTGTCAGAGCGCGCCGAACTCGTGCGTCGCCACCTGGCCTCATACGGCAAGCGGCTGCAGGAGTCCTTCCGCGTGAACGAGCTCAAGCTGCTGCTGCGGAAGACGGACGCCAAACAGGCCTCCTACCTCACCTACGCCATCACCTACCTCCGCCTCTTCAGCTTCTTTGACACACTGCGGGCCGACATCGCCCGGCTGCCCTCCACCCTCGCCCAGCTGCACGCTGAAACGTACAAAAAGCTGGAGGAGCGGTTTGACGCGGAAACCTGCCGCGCGGTCCTTGTCTCCCTCTACCTCTCGCAGAGCCTCTCCGGGCTGAAGGAGCACAACCTCTACCGCCTCGTCTCCAACGTCGCCGGTGCCTCCCGCCTCGTCGCGCTGCTCACGGGGACGTGTCTGCGGGTGGCGCGCAAGCGCGTGCGGATTGCGAATGCCTCGTTTGAGGCCTCCATCGCGGCGCGCTACCTTCCCCGCTCCTCCGACCTCGTGGACGCCTGCGCCAACAGGCTGGTGGCCGAGTTGTACTTCCGCCCGCTCGCCACAGGCGCGGGCCGGTATGAGATCCGCGAGAGCATCCGCCTCGCCGTGGATTCCATCAAGCGTGGCCCGCAGGAGACGTGTGTGTTTCGTCCCCAGCGCTACTCGCCCTCGCAGCTCCTCGCCCTGCTTCACTTTGCGCTGCGCACGAAGGAGTACGACGCGTTTGCGGCGCTCGCCGCGTATGTGCCTTTCATTGAGTACCTCATCGTGACTGCGACGTACCTGCAGCGGTTTATGAATCTGCTGTCGCAGGCCACGATGGCGAACTCGCTGCTGGCGCGTCGACTCCACCCCATCCTCGAGTTTATGCAGAGCGAGTACCACGTCCTGCTGGATCGCCCCAGTCTTTTGCGGCAGTGCATCTGGAACTCGCCGGGCTGCAGTAAAATTTTACACGGCCTCGACCACGACCGCCGCGGGGAGCACGATGACGCGGGCGGCAGCATCATCCGTGGCGAGCGGAATTCCACGACGTGGGTGCGGTGGATGAACCCCAGCCAACACGGAGAGGAGGGACGCACCATCACGTTTCCCTCGACCGAGCCGCTGCACTGCCTTGTTCTGAGCGATGACGGGAAATTCATGGCCGCCGGCGGGGAGGACATGACGGTGCGAGTGATGCCGCAAGGTGCGCTGGAGCAGATTACGGCGTCACTAAATCACACAGCCCCCGTCACCGCCATTGCGTTCCTGCCACACCAGTCGCATATTTTGCTCACGGGGTGTGGGCGCGGTGTGCTACGGGTGTGGAGCCTTGAGGATAACAGTCTGTTACAGCAAGGGCAGGCGGGGCACACGCGATGCATTTCATCCCTCGCCTGTCATCCTACAAGCAGCGTTGTTTGCTCTGGCAGCCACGATGGACGCTGTGCGCTGTGGCACGTTGTGAGCAGCGTGGCGGAGTCTGTGGTGCGGTCAAGTCTGCAGCCGATGCAAATTCTGAAGCATCACACGGCGCCCGTTTCGTGTGTGGCGTACCACAGCTCGGGCGAGATACTGGCGACGGGATCGTGGGAGGGGCGTGTGTATTTCATTAACATGGAGCGCAGCATGGAGGATGCAGGCGCGTCGGCGGCGCCGCTGGCGTACGTGCACCAGGTCCTGGAGACGCGGAGCCCTGTGCGTGGGCTTGCGTTCCTGCCCTCGATGGTGGTCACGTGTGCCGTGGCGCTCTACAGTGGGGACGTATGCCTCTACGACTACGCCTCCGCCTCCTGCAGTGCGCGGTTGGCGCTGCATGCCGGCATCCCCATCGCCTCCCTTGCCTTCTCGCCGGACGCAAAGCTGATGGCCTCGGCAAACGAAAATGGAAACGTACGCGTGACATACGCCGGCGTTGCGGGGACAGTCATGTCGACGCTCAACGGCCATCGCCGGGCTGTGACCAGTGTCGCCTTCCATCAGCAAGAGCCCTCCACCCTCTTCACCTCCTCGGTGGATAATAATCTCAAGGAGTGGTGCATTGGCCAGAGTAGCGAGCCCCGCTACACGGGGCTGCGTGGGACGCACGCCATGAGTGTGACTGCGTGTGCGGTGGCCTCGGATGGCTCCTTCTTTGTCACGGGCGACATGGACGGTACGGCGTTTGTCTTTGCAAGCCGCCAGGTCGTCGGAGGCGGGGCCTTTGAAGGCACCGGAGCCAAGGATGACTTTTTTGTCCCCCATTTTGTTCTCTCGCACGAGCACGACCGGGTCTCGTGCATCCGCGTGGTGATGCAAAACAGCCGCATCCTCTGCGGGACGGCGGGCGGGGAGGTGTTTGTTTGGGCCGCCTCGCCCGGGCTCAACCACCGCGAGGGACGCCTGCTGCGGCGCATTCGCGTGGCGGGCAAGGGCACGTACCCCGTTATTTTTATAGAGTGCGTGGAGGAGCTTGCGTCTAGCGTCGGTGGGGAGTGCCAGGAGGACGCGTTGAATGCCTCAAAGTCTCACCGTCCCCTCTACGGGCGGGCCACGGCGTTGACGACGGATGGGGCGATGGCAGCATGGGCGATGTACGGCGACGACGACGGGCTCACGCTTGCTCTGGAAGATAAATCCTCCGATGAGGCGCTGCACGGCGACGGCGAGGCAACGGGGACGAATGCACACTCTGTCGCTTCGCATCAGACGAATGCGTCTTCGGAAGTTACCTTCGGCGCTGGTCCGGCCCTCCATCGTGACGGGAGCTATGTTGAGGAGGCGCTCTCCTCGTGTAGTGAATCTCCTGGCAGCGGCAGTGAACAGTCTTCCCGATCAACTCAGGAAACGCGTCGGGGTGACCATGCGGCAGGTGTGCCGCAGAGGCGGGAGTCGGATGGCGACAGCAGCACAACCGACGAGGCGCTGAAGGCGGCCCCGCAGCGCGCGGTCCTTCGGTGGGTGGATCAAGCTGAAAGTCTTCACGGGGACGCGGGATTGCGGCACGCCTCACCTTACACCCCGTCTACGAGCGAAAGCGCATTTCCGATGCTGCCGAATGATGCGGAGGAAATATTGGCAGCCGTCTCTTTCATCAGCCGTAGTCAAGGCAGCCGGTCGGAGCTGAGTGCCTCGGGTGAGGCGACGGAGACGCAGGAGGCCGCCTCCAGTGCGCGTCAGCGCGCGGGGTTGCTGTGGGGGCACTACATCGTTGTGGGTCGCTTCCGCTGCCATTTGGCTCTGGCCGACCTCCAGCGGGTGGTGCTGCTGCCCGTGCAGGACCCGCTGCAACTGCTGTCTGCGGTTCGTGACGGTGCCTCGCCCTGCAACAGGACCAGCAGCGGCGGCGGCGGCAGCAGCAGCAGCGACAACAGCTACGCGCTAAAAAAGGGGGACTTCTTCCTTTGCGCGAGCGACTGCATCCGAGTGAAGTCCGCTTGGGACGCGGAAGCCGACGACGACGACGACGACACCAACAGTTCCTCCGCCGTCCTCTTTGCCCTAGGCACAAACTCTGGCACGGTGTTGCTTCTCGAGGCCGCGTACGAGGCGGCGGACGCGGAAGACCTCTCTTCGGTGGACGATGCGTCGCTGGCGAGCTTGGCGCTAAAGGAGCAGCGGCGTACGCGCCTGACGCTGCGGCACACCACAGACATCGTCGGCAACCACGGCAAGCCAGTTGCGGTGGACTCCCTCGCCCTGACGGCGCAAGCCGCGGCCACGCAGGACTCCGGGGTGTGGCGGGATGCACGGACCACGCTGCGGGTGGTGGTGGGCGGCCGTGACGGCTCCACACGCCTCTACACCGTCTTCCCGTTTCGTGACATGGAAGAGGCGACCCCCGCGACAAGCGCCATCTGCAAGGGAGAGGCGGGTGCGGAGAGTGAGAGCAAAAGGAACGGTGAGGAGGAGGAGGAAGGCGGTGACTCGGAGAGCGAGACGCAGGATCTCATGTGCAAAGATCTTTGGAATGAGCAGGGCATCTTCTTTGCCTCATCCGGCGTCACTGTCGTCACTGTGCTGCGGATGCCTGGGAGCGCGCCCTCGCTGCGTGCCTGCATGGGTGCGGCCGTGGGAAGCAGTGCTTTTCTGCCGCCCTCTGGCTCCCCAGAGACCGCGGCGGCAGCTGCGCCGCCGCCTCAGCATCTCATATACATCGCTGGTGACTGGCTTGGAAATGTGTACCAGCTGCAACTCGAGCGGAAAGGCGATGTGAAACAAAAGAGGAGCATCGTCAAGCCGCTCACGGCTTCATGTTGGATGGCCGAACGCAATTTGCCGGATGCTCTTCACTGGTCGGTCGCCGTGGGTGCGGAGCGGGAGAAGAAGGGCTTGCAGGGGGATGCCCTCTTTTTCCAGCCTCCGGATCGCGCCGAGGAGGCTGCTGTGGCGAGGCGCGTGCGTCAAACGATGGAGTGGCGTCGCGAAAAGCGTCGCATTACATCGATGTTCTTGCCGCCCGCAGCAAATCCAGCGGCGGCGTTGGCCAGCGGCGAGGCCGCCAGGGACTGCCCAATAAAGTCAGGGCCCGTACTTCCACAATTTCCCTTGGGTTCTTCTCCGTCTGCTGGCGCGGCTGCGGCAGCCGCTTTCGCGGAGGGTGTGCCGCCGTACGAGCGGATCCTCGAAAAGATGCCGGCCGGCTTGGACCCGTCGCAGCGGAGCGAGTGGCTGCAGCAGCGTCAGCGTCTTCTTGTGGAGGCACTGCAGGCGCAAAGGAACGCCGTGAAGGCACGTGCAGTGCTTGCGGAGTATTCAAAGGATACCTTGCTCTCCTTGGGAGCCTCGCTCTCGCTGTGATGCTGGCTGTAGGAGTAAGTTTCTTCTTTTTTTTTTGTTTCGTTTTTCTCACTGACGGTTTGCTTGCGTGCTTCCTTCCTTTTCCCTCCGCCGGTTTGCTCCGGTGGGGTTTCCTGCTTCTCTCTTTCTGTCGGTGTTGGTGTTGTGTCTTCTGCCCTCCAGCTCCACACCATCCCCCTCTTTTCTGTTTTTTTTTGTGCTTTTGGCCTTCGCGCCGTTGGCTTCCGCCGCGGCTCACGCTGCCCCCGCTCCGCGGCAAAAACGGGGGAGTGGGAGCGCAGGCGGCCGGGGTCCTCCGGGCACTGCAGGCACGCACCGGCTCACGCGCCGAAGTTGCTAGGCGGAACGGCAGCAAATACACACAATACATACATATATATATATAGTCTGTTGTACTGTATAATATTACAACCAGAAAGCAAGCAAGCAAGCAAGCAAGCAAACAAACCGGGGAGGGGAGAGGGGTAGGAGTAGACGAAAAGAAACGAGGGTGAAATGTCGCACGCGGGGAGTCGGGGGAACGTGTACGACGAAAAGGGCACCGTGCTCTACCGCGCCGTGCCGGAGAACTCGTCCGCGGTGAGCGGCAAGAGCGAGGAGGAGAGCACGGCGGCTGGAGGCGCGGCGGTTGACTTCTCCACGACGGCGCCGCCCAACGCGTCCGCCATGAATGTCACCGCCTCCGTGGCCCTGCGCTCCAGGGCGCCGCGGATCAGTAAGTCCGTGTCGTTCACCCGCCCGCCAGTCGCGAATGCCCCGGCGGCCGCGACGAAGAAGGAGGCGCCAAAGCTGATTCAGAACAGCCTGACCCCGGAGCAGGCGCTGCTGACGCTGTTTCCCCCCGAGCCACTGCAGGACACCGAGAACGGCAGCAAGAAGGAAAGGAAGGAGTTGGGCTTTTCCGATGCGGCGACCTCCACCATCTGCACCGCGCGAGAGCCCGGCGAGCGTCGCTGGATGAAGGTAGCGGCGATTGATCACACCAGTCGCCTTGACTGCGTGCATCTGCAGGACCACCTGGAGCGCCGATGCAAAGAGGAGAACGCGCGCCCGTCAGGGGTTGTCTGCCGAATCCGCGAGGAGATCTACACCGACGGTCTGAAGGAGCTGATACGACAGACGACGGTGCTCTGCCCCGAGCGTGGGCTGCTGCTTGCCGAGCTTGCGACGGAGATGTGGCAGACGACAAAGAAGTACGATATTCTCTTTGACAGCGCCTGTCAGTACGCCGTGCGCAAGGCGATTGAGCGCGACATGCGGAGTTACCTGTTTGACGACAAGATGCGTTTGGAGAGTGAGGTGCGGCGGCTGGAGAACCGCGTGAATGAACTGCGGGCGAAGCACGACGGCATGCAGGAGCGCTTCGAGGAGCTGAAGCAGGCGGAGCAGAGTAGACACGAAGAGGAGGTGCAGTACCTCAAGAAGGTCAATCAGCAGATCGTCAGCGAGATCAAACGGATCACGGCGTTAGAAAAGGCGAAAGCCACAGCAGCGGCACAGGCACAGGCACAGGTACAAAACACCGTGTAGTTCCTACCTCCACTTATTTGTTGGTAGTGTCCCCCCTCCCCCTCCTGGGTGTCTTGCTTTGGCGGCGTGCAAGGAGGAGAGGGTTGGCAACGGGACATGTCAAGGGGAGACGCCAGAACAGCGGCGAGAGGGAAGGAAGCGAAGCTGCGAATTCCGTTTTCCGGTGAATACGCCATGTACACAGTATACACATGCATGCACAATAGCACATACACGTCCAGTCACAACTTTATACGCCAAGCGTGATGATGAGTGATGTGGTGTGCGGTGTGCTGTCACATGTTCCTTCTTTTTCTTTTTCTTTTTCTGCAGTCAACCTTGTTTGCATATATATATATATATATGTATATGAGTCTGTCATGCCTGCACTGGTGGCGTATATTTCTCGCTATACCTTAACATTGCGGGTGTCCACCACCTCCTCTCTCATGCTTTTCTTTTCGTTTGAGGTTGGTTCATGACCTGGATTGTGATTGACCGCAGTTCAAAGGGAAGTCTATCCTCCTTCCCCCAGTCCATGCAACGCGCAGTTCGTCCGGCTGGCCCGGCGCTGCGGCCCAAACTCCGGACGGGTAGAGCGGCGGGGATTGAGGAGAGGCGATCGCACAGGGGAGTAAGGAGAGTTTCCAGGGGAACTGGACAGGCGGACGGCAGCGGCAGGAGCGTGAGTACGGGGAGAGGGCGGCGGAGACGCGACCGCAGCGAAAGCGGCAAGAGCGCCCCGGAGAAGGAGGAGGCCACGAGCGAACCGAGTGCGGCAGTGCTGCAAAACGACGAGCAGGCGCACCGCTTCCTGGACAACGCGTGGGGAAAGTTTGGGGAGGCGCGTGTGCTGGTGCGCCAGAACTGCTTTCTAGCGGCGTGGAGGGAACTCATGGAGGCGAAGGACTTCATTGACGCCGCGGCGGGCAACTGCTCCTGCGGATTAGACCGACACAATCAGGCACTGGTGCAGCTGGGACACGAGTTAAGCGCGGCGACGCAGAGTTGGCTGCGGTGGGAGAGCCTGGTGGAGGGTCCGGGGTTGTCCGACCCGCCGCGGGTGGGCGGCGCGGCTGCAACGGACCCGCTGCAGTCGCAGAGGCAGGCGGAGCGACAACAGGAGCGGGAGTCGCAGCGGTCGCCGCGAGAGCGTGGCGAGAAGAAGACAAGTAATGACGAGGCTGAAGATGCGGGGGAGGGCCCGAAGGGGCGTGAGGGGCTCAATGAGCACGCACTGCCGAGAGCCCCTCAAAGCGCCGTGGAGACGAAGCTCACGATGGACATAAAAGGCAGCGGAACGAACATATTTCTGCAGGGCGGGCATTGGGACGGCGAGGATGTCCTGTTGGACTGTAGTTTCAGGCCGGCCGCCACGCTCCGTTGGAGGGCGCCTGGGCCAGCACAGGGCATGTGGAGCTCGCCGGCAGACCAGATCTTCCCCCAGGGACAGTGCTTTCCGTACGCGCGTGAGGCAGGTGGCAAGCCGGGGAAGCGGTTCAGTGACGGCATCCTGTTGGGCAAGAGTGGCCAGGCAGAGAGAACTGCGTCGCGGTCGTCCTCTGCCGCGCCGCTTTCTTTGACCGCGGCCTCCGCGGAGGAGGCGGAGGGACAGGCACAACCGAAACAGCAGGCGGCAGTGAAGGAGGGGGGAGAGCCGGCGGCGCCGAGTGGAAGCGTGGAGGGGCAGACGCAGGCGACGCCGGGGCATCCACCCCACGGCGAAGGCGCCACGCAGCGGCTGAAAGGTGCGGAGAGGCAAAATGGCGTCACCGCAGATGTGTCGTCGCGGGAGAAGCCCGCACCGGCGGGGACGGACGCCGCCCTCCCGCCTGAAGAAGCGCCGCGGCAACCGACGGAGCAGCGGCGGTGCGAAGGGGTAGCGGAGGACGCGAGGCGAGGCGAGCGGCGAGGGGAGGGGCTGAAGAACGACGAAGCGCAGTGTTTGTCATCGCCCGCGCCTGCCGTGCCGCCGCCGAGTGCGAAGGGCTCCCCGGCCGCAGACGCCGCCGACGCGCACGCCGCACCCACGAAGAGCCTCTCCCCATTTCGCTCCATCCCCGACTTGGGGGAGCCGCAACTCGTGCGCCTCTACGCCTTTGAGCTGGAGAAGCCACGGCCCACTTCGGAGGATGGCCTCCGCCCAAGGACTCGCATTGCACGCAGGCCCTTATCGGCAACGGCGCCAGCTCGCTCTTCTGCACCAAAGCCACCGACGGCACAGGCGCGAAAGAAAAGCCCAAGTTATGGAAAGCTGATGCCGTCCGCGACGAGCTTGTCCCCTGCTGAGGGCCCCGTCTTAGTGGGTTCCTCGAAGATCGCCACTGAGACGAGGCACCCCACTGAGAGCCACCTACGAACGGGCGGTAGTGGTGGTGGTGGCCGTCGGCCGTTGCCGTACCTGAGTGTCTACCATGCATGGCAGGGAGGGGGCAGCGGGCAAGTCGGCAGCGTGCTTCAGTCGCGCAGTGCCGCCGTGCCGGAGGAGGCGACGACGCAGAGCTCGCCGTGTCAGCAGGGCGGTCCGCAGGCGACCGCCACTTCATCGCCGAATCCCTCGCAGCCTTCCGGCGTGGAAGTTTATGAGGCTTCCGGTAAGGGAGTGGCGGAGGCCGGTGACGGCGGCCCTCACCGCGACGGCCATCGGGCAGAGAAGGAGGAAGAACACCGTGACAAACCTGTGCGCAAGCGTCAGAAGCTGGTGTCCACAGCGGCGTCCCTCCGGGGCTGCTTTGATGGGGTGAAGAGTTACCACGAGGCCCGTGAGCTGCATCAGCAAATGGTGCAAAAGTTCCTTCGGCGTGAGGAGGAAGAGGAAGCCGAAAACGAGGACGAAGCCGATGGCGAGGAGCGCGTGGCCGCGCAGGCACCTCAGGAGTGTGCCGCGCACATGCTCGGACACCTTGAGGAGGCCTACTACGACTGGCTGGTCGAGCACCTTTGCATTAAGCGGCGTCATGTGCAGTTGGAGGAGGGCGACGCCCTGACGCCAACCGGCGTCGTCACGGGTGCAGAAGCCACCGGAGCGGAGAGTGGGGAGGGGACGGCGCAAGGCCAAACAGACAGCTCTGCGGCAGCGTGTCCGACCACGACGGTGTCGCTGCCGCTGCGGGCGCCGGTGTTGACGGAGCGGCTTGAGGCGGCGCTGAAGTTTGGCCGCGTCGACACACCACCCACCGCCACGCCAGAGACGGAAGAAAGCGGTGGTGGGGGGCGAGCCGAAGGAGCGGCGGCGGCGGCTCAACCGCCCAGCCCGGGCAAAGCAAACGGCGTTGGGGCCACAGCTGAGGATGGCGGCCTGGCCGCACCTGTGGCCGCGGCGCAGGCCCCGTCCGTGACTCCCGTCGCCGTGGCCGCTGGCGGCGCTGCGTGTGGGCGGCTGCGCGAGACGGGGGAGGGCAGGGAGGCCGCTGAGCAGGAGGAGGCATGGGCGCCGCAGCTGCCGCACGCGGACCCCCAGGCGGAACCCTTCAGGACGAATGCCAACAACGTTATCCCTGACACGAACACCCCACGTCCGCGCCGGGTTGGATGCACGCTCGTGTTTCTCCGCGAGCGGCGCTGATGACACTGGCGGGCTTCTTGTTGTTGTTGTCGCTGTTCGTTCTCGTTTTTTTTTCTTTTACTTTCCGTCTATCCGTCGCGATGTAAATGAATGGGTGGGTGGGGCGGGGCGGGCGACGAAGATGTTTGCGTTGGGGGTCGTGTGTTTCTGCGATGACTGCGGTGTGTGTGTGTGGGGGGGGGGCGCAGTGGCAACGGCGGTGCTGGTATTTAACGAGAGAACATGAGAAGAAAAAAGGAATAAACAACAACAAAACATTTTTTTCTTCTTTTCTTTCCTTTTTTCTCGTTATTTTCCTTG